TTTAATTTGCTACGGTATCTTCGGCTTTTATCAGCATTATTAATTTTATTTTATAAGATAGAGGAATGGATGTAAAATTAATTATGATATTTAATGAATTAAAGCAACACATGATCATTAATTTGTAAAAATGATAAATATTTTAATTATTAATATGGGAATTTTGTTTGGGTAAAACTTTTAACTTTCAAATTTTTCTAATTGAAAGGTTTTTCAAGTGAAATTTTAATTTAAAATTTTTTTAAATGGAGGAAAATCTCTTGACAAGTTCTTTCACGTGATTAAAAAACCTGTTTCTAGATTAATTTATTTGGGTTTTTTTAGCAAGTTTCGGTTCATTTCCAGCAATAAAAATTGGTATCTTCCCATCTCTGACCTTTGAAAATAATGAATTAAATACTTTTTCAAAATTTAAAAGTGATGGAAGAACAAAAACAATGGACTTGAAAAAAAAACTTGAAAAAAAGAGCAAAAATCTTTCAAAAATGCGAATTCAAATGTCCTAATTGTACAAAACTTGGCTTGCAACAATGTACAATTACTGTGTAATACTTTGATAAGAGAATTTCTTGTAAAAATTCCTCAAAATCAGATAAGGAAGCATTGCTTTTTCTTAAAAAAATGTTCGATTAAATATTAAATTGGCAGAAAGAACATTCTCTGAAATCTGGTGCTGATTTGGAATCGGAGCTCGCTGGCTGGCTTATTTAAAACACGACGAATTCGGATTGAAAGAGGCCAGCGTAATTAAGAGATAAATAATCCGTAGAGTAAAAACAAACGCGGAGGTCGAAACGGCGGCTGCAATAATCAGACACAATCAGTCAGTCGGCGGGTGAGTGTTGGTGCACGCGGGCCGTCTGGAAAGGCGTATAGGTTATTTTGTCTAAAGCGTGTTGACTGATAACTTATCTGGCCGGGCTCATTATCGCGGGCAGGGTTAGCCGGGCAGGTGAAGCAAAGGTGCGTTATTATTGACTCTTGGCCGCTCAAACACTCCACACAACCAGCACAACACCCAGTGAGTGAGACACTTTTTCTCAATACATCAATTCTTGCCTAATTATTGGTAATTTTTATTTCAAGAAAGAAAATTAATTATGTGCTCTGAGACTCATATGTTGCAAAATCGCGATCCGAGGCGAAGATAAATTTTGATCTCGATTTCTTCAAAGTTGAGACGCTGCGATTGGCCAAAGATAGTGACAAATATTTATGTCATTGCGCCGCACAGACATGGTCTGGAATTTCATAAACCACGCGATTTGTGATAAAAGTCAATAGTGACGAGCTTGAATATTCAACACAGTTTTAAAATTGTGAAAAGCAAATATAATAATTTTCAGTTATTCAATTTATTTCTTTTAAAATTCAAGCCATGAATCATTGAAAGAACAAGCTGTTGAAGATATTTTTGAACAAAAAAGTCTAGTAGTACTTTTGCGGTTACGGCAAAAGGTTAAAGATTTCTTCACAAAAAGTGTAAAATTTAAATATTTCCTGTATAAAATTAAAAAATAAGTAATCACAATAAAAAATTCATTGCAATTTCTAGCCATTTTAATAACAAATGAACTTCATTTTAATTTATTTTAATTATCTAATTTGCTTAGCTGTTTATTGAGGGGGTGAAAATCAAGAGTTGCAAAAACCGATGGAAATTATCCAGGATTTTTAGATGCTTTTTGGTAAATTGGGATGAGTTTAGTTTCTGGGGCCTTTTTACAAACTTTTCGTTTGGTTTTTATTTTTTATTTCACGGTTTTAAAAAGGTTTTGATAATTAAATATCATCATGATTCATGATATGGAAAAATTGTTCATCGTCTTATTAAGCTCCAACTCCTCGATATTTGCCAAATTAAACGATTTGGCAATCTCTTTATATCCAATTAAAAGTTTCCTAAAACATATTTTCTTTTTCAAATTTGTCCCAATTTATAAAATTTTATTTGTCTTCTGTATAAAATAAATATCTCTTCAACATTTTTTTTTATTTTAAGGTATTTATATTTAACAGTTTTTCAGAACCTCATTTTAACTTTAAATTATATTGGTCATTTGGTATTATTTTTACATTTCTTTGTTTATTTGCAACAAACAAAACGTTCATCTACTACCGTTGAGATCGAAACCAAAATTAATTTATGAAGCGCGACCTTCTTTAGGATTTATCATTCGTTACAAGAACATAAAAAACATCTCACTCTCAATTTAGTGCCAATTCATAAAAAGTTTCTACTTATAAATTTAATTTTCCATTACAAGCACAAAAAATCTCATTCAACCCGATGAACTTGAGAGATAAAAATAAAATCACCTGACTTTATTGTTAATGTTGTGATTTTAATTTCAAAGAGAGAACTTCCGCTCGCCACTAATTAGTTGCTCGAGGATTTTATGTCCCATTTCCGTTCGACTCTGGCGAGTTTTCCGCTCGATTTGCATTCGTTGTAAACAATCGGGGTCGGCCGAGATTTTTTTCAATCGGTTTCCTCTCTCGGGAGCAGAAACGCGGAAAGAACTTCTTCACGATTTATATATTTTCACCTGGGGCCGTCAGCGTTGTTGTTTTTTTTTTGTCCCAAGCGGTCGAGCGGCTTCATTATTATTTTCTGTTTGGAGGAGGAAAAAATGTGGAGCGCTGAGAGTGACCAGCGCAAAGAGCACCAACCACGGTCACCGCAGAGAGCCCGACCATGACTTAACCTTTCGTCGGGCTAACCTTCAAACCTCTCTCTCTCTCTCTTCCTAGCTTTTTTCACTGCCACCGAAACCTTGAGTCGCTCCGGCCAAATTATATCTGGCAGGCAAAAAGAGTATTTTCTGACCAACCGGCAGCGATTATCGAGCCACTTGTTGCTCTGCACCCCGCCCGATATTTGTATATCTGAAAAGCAAAAAACCAAACGCGGAATCAAAAGTGGAGCTTTCAGAAAATTCCACTTTAACACGTTATTTACTTTACTTGCGTCCGCCGTTTCGCAAAAAAAGCAGCAGATAACCTGACATGCCATTTTTTTTTATCTAAAAAGGCTTGTTTTTGTGTAAAAAAAAACTTCAGATTTGTGGAGTTTATTTAAGGCCATATTCAAATCCATTAGTTTCTTTTTTTTAAATTTAGGCGCAATGTAGCATGGGAGGTGGTCAACCTAAGGTATTAAGTTGGCCCCCAATTCCAAACGTTGCATATTTTACAGGGGCTCAAGTTAGCAATTTTCTACTTAAGGAATTTCAAAAAAACTTGGCGCCGCTTGAAAGCCACTGAAATGAAATTCAATTCGGTTACAAGACTCAAGGTCACAGGTCAACGTTTAAGGTCACAAACAATTCAATTCAATTTTGAAAAGTACCTCATAAAATTTGGATCATTCCCATTGGAAACATTTTCCTTAAATTTAATTAAAATTACGCTGTCTTTTGAGCTATGCACAGCCAAATTTGGAAAAGGATAGTTTTTTTTTAAGGCAAAATATTAAATTAAGTTGCACGTTGAGATCAAATTGTTCTTTAATTAATGATAATTACAAAATTCTAGTTTTTAATAATTCAATTTATTTGAAACGGAGCTGGAATTATAATAAGTCTTTCTTCCGCGTCCTCTGTAATGTCACGATTCGCGATATTGGAAAATTTAAATGAGCGTGAATTACGTGCCTTCGAAAGGTCCGCGCCGCGTGAATTCCACTTCCGGAAGGTAAAAAGGTCGCTTGCGAAAGATGCAGGTTGGCTTTATTTGTGCACAAGTGCGTTCTCGCGCCGAAGGACAAAAGAGCAGAGTGCTGTTTTTTCTTGGCCGTGTGCTTTTGTGAGCAGACGCGACCAACAATCGCGTCCCGGGAAATTACGCAACCGATCATGAGGCGAATATTGATATGCACGTCCAGCTCGCGTTTCGGCCACAACAATGCTCAGATCAATAATTCAATACGGTGACATTGAATTTAGTTTCTTTTCAATGCTCTACCTGTTCATTGTTTAAAGGAACAAATTATTTTGTTTATTTTGATTTTTATTCATAAAAAGAACATTATTGAGGTTTTTTATTGAGAGTTAATCTTTATTCTAATTAATTCTAATTATTCTAATTAAGATCAATTTATTTTGAGAAAACAAAATATATAAAAATAAATTTTAAATCTGTGCATTCTAAGTAAAATTAACTTTGTTGATCAACAATTAATATACAATATTTAAGCTTTTTGTAAATAAAATATGTATTAAAGTGGTTTTTGAAATTTCAGTTTTGACCCTTGGAATTTGGTTCACAAGACCAGAGTTCAGTCTGTGTCTTCTTTAAAAGACATGTCTAGAAATAATTACGAAACACTTTATTTGAAGTGGCAAAATTAGCTATCTATCTTTTGAATCAGTGATAATGTTTCAATGCGGCACTTATAATAATTGCTAATGGAGAAGCGTTTGCAATCGCTCGGGTTTCCGGTCAAAGAGACGCCGTCGTGGCGAGCGAAGGTGAGATGGATGCGTCAGGTATATCAGGACGACTGAATGAGAGATCGGCGGCGTGAATCTCACAGTCGGAATTACAAAAGACATGCACAAGAAAGAAGCGCTCAGTGAACCGTCGAATCAAACTGCACTCGAATGAGCACAAAAATGAGCTGCCTGACCTCAAATGCATTCCACCGAGCGACTTCATTTCATAGGAAAAAATTATATGGAATAAAAATGAATAATTAAATTTAAAATAAATATTTTTTCCATCAGTTTACAATTAAATTTATTTTTTATATAAATAACTTATTTTATGAATCTTTATATGCAGAGTGATTGAAAAGCTAAAAATTGCGCAGGGAAAACCATCAATCAAGCGCACGTGCGGCTTATTTGAGTGTGACGATTTTTTGCGTGCTTTCGATAAGTTAAGAGGAACACAAAACGGCGATTCTGGGACACGAATTATCACCATTTATTGATAAAGTCGGTTTTTTTATCAGCGGCGAAAGAGCAGGTCGAGAGAGAGAGGAAGTCTGATTTTACAAATAGGCTGGAGAGGTTCTTCTTCTTCGCGGTCTATTTGTGTGTGCAGTTTGACGTCAGTGTGTGTCACGCAAACTCTCGCGGCGGCACCGCACCAAGAAAGAAATAATTATCACGTGTGCGTTGGGCGAAGGGCCGAAACGGCCTCACCACGCACTCACCTTTCGACCGACCTCTGACGCGCAACAAGCAGGTGCAAAAATAAATCCTGCGTCCGAATTTGACGCAAATATACTCTCCGTGCACTGAGCGCTCCGACCCACCGCTCACTCACTTCAAGTTGGCAAAAAGTTTTGAACCCAATTCGACAGATTTTTAACGAATCAATTGAACAAAACTAATTTTAGAGAAAAATTTTGAGTCAAATTTGAGAAAATAATTTTATTTTTAAATTAAATATTCCTTAGATCCTGATAGATATTTGTGTAAAATTATTTTTTGGCGGAGTTTGTGAACAAAATCAAAAATATACTTCACAAAACATTCTTGAAGGTTTCAATCAGTTCAATTTAACAGAATTTCAAAATGTACGGCAAAAAACAAATTTAATTGAGCTTTTTTCTCTCTTTATAATAAGATTAGTGTCCGGGATGACCTAATAAGTAGAACAGTCAATATTTTAACCTCACCCACGAGCAAATGAGTGGCGTCGCTCACACAGATAAGCCATCTCAGCTGATTGTGGGAAATTTAATGACATCACCTTTCGTCGTCATTATTAAATTCGTGTTTTTTGTCTGCGTTGATGGCAGGTCGGCTGTGATGGTGTTGGACTGAAATGGTCAAGATGGACATGCTGCACGAGGTGGTGAGGTCTCCGCCCCCGACTCGGCTCATCCTGGAGCGCATCAAGGCGGAACACGAGCAGCTGGGCTCGCTGCCCCTGCTCGCCTCGGCCGCCGAAAAGGCCTCGCACAGGTCGCTATGCCTCGCCGCCGAGCTGTGCGTCGTTTGCGGCGACAGGGCCTCAGGTAAATTCAAAATTTCACTTCATTAATTGGAAACAAATTTAATTATTATTTCTGTAATATTTATTAAAGTGGGAAAAACAGAAATCTATATTGCATTTTTTTTTAATAAATCGAGTCAAATCTAAAAAATAAAAAAACATTGAATATTTTTAGTAATATTTTTGTTAGATTGTGAAGTGGGCAACATACTTATAAAATAAATAATGCTTTTCCTAAAAAGCTTCTTTAAAAAGGTCAAATTTGCGAGCTTCAATTCCTTGATGAGTTTAAAAAAATCGAACAGCCATTGTAGCAAATCCTTTCTTTGGTCCATCTCAAAATATTAATAAAACTTTCTATTTTTAAACGATTATGATAGACTTTTTAAACTTTTTTTAACAATGAAATGAAGCAAATAAATAATTGTATAATTTGGTTCATTCTTCAGGGCGTCATTACGGTGCCGTGAGCTGCGAAGGGTGCAAAGGTTTCTTCAAGAGGTCCATCAGAAAGCAGCTGGGGTACCAGTGCAGGGGCAGCAAGTCGTGTGAAGTGACCAAACACCACAGGAATCGGTGCCAATATTGCAGACTGCAGAAGTGCCTTGCCATGGGCATGAGAAGTGATTGTAAGTAAAAATATGCGGACAAATTTTTAAACCAAATATCCTTGCTTTTATGTTTTGGTGTCAATTTTGAGGTAAAGCTAGGATTTATTTAGGCTCTTTAACCAGAAGCCGCTCCTTAAAACTAGATTATTTTAGTCTGAATCAGTTTTAATTTATTCCCAGAATAATTTTACAATAATTATAAATTAAAATATTACCAAAAAATTTCAAAAAGAGTAAATAAAATATTACATTCACTTCTTTAAATTTTAATTTTTCACTAACATTTTTTACAAATTTCTAAATAACTAACCTAAAAATAAAAATATTACCAGTAGGATTGCAGAAATAATTCAAATTCATGCAAATTAACTATGTATGCAACTCGCGAAGCTTCGACGTGCTGCGAGTTGCCTACCCAAATTTTATGTATTTTACTTCGTATTGTCTGCCGTGCACTTGATAGTTTCCAATAAGTTTTCGAAAGTGTGTAAATTGATTCCAGCCGTGCAGCACGAGCGAAAACCGATCGGGCTGAAGAACCGCGAGTCGCCGTCGGGCCAGCAGCAGCAGGGCGGCCCCTTCGCCTCCAGCTCGGGCCGCTACTCGAGGGGCGTCAAGGATCTCATGGGGCGGGCGCCGCCCCCGGGCCTCAACCTCTCCGAACTCGGCCTCATGGGCCACCTCATCTCGTCCAGGAGCACTTTCGGTCAGTCTCATAATTCTTCATAAAATATTTAAGTAAAATTAAAAAAAAAAAACCAAGATTAATTCAATGATTATTATCAATTTATTTTTAATAATTTGGACAATTCAACAACAATAAATTTTTTGGATTTTGTTTTTAACGAATTGGTGCAAATATTCACTTTGAAATTAAAATTTCAGCTGCATTTGAAGCAAGCAGACGGCAGCAGTCGCCAATCAGTGCTGACGAGGAGGCTTCAGGGGACAGCAGTGGTGCCGACATCACAGACGCCATTTCTCTGGCCCAGGAAAGGGAGGCCATCACCAGGGCCCTCGACACCATGGTTCAAGTACGGAAATTTTATTTTGTCCAATAAGCTCTTTTTTTTCAAATTTTATATTGATTGGTAAAAAATTTCTTTTTTAGTTTTATACAGAGAAAAATTAATTATCTTTATTTCATTTCAATTCTAAAAATAAAAAATAAATTGTCGAGAAAATAAATAATCGGCCCTCGTTTGGGGGAAAAAGCAGCTTTTTTCACCATTCTTTGAATTAATGTACAAAATAATTTATGCAATTTTTAATAAACTATCATTCCACATTTTTCTAATTTTTTTGTTTATTTTTCCAGAATTTGTACCACCCTCCGGCTGCAAACGGGTCGGAAACGAGCACGGACGAAGCGGCGGGAATGGAAGGGCCGATCATCACCGAGCAGCAAATGTCCTTCAGCCTGCAGGTGCCCAACCAGATTCCGCCGTACTTCAACAACCACTTCATCTGCGAAAGTGCCTCCAGGCTGCTCTTCCTCTCCGTCCACTGGGCCCGCAGCATTCCCGCCTTCCAAGCGCTCAGGTCAGTTATTTTTTAAACAAATTTTTATCAATGAAATTAAATTTGAAAAAAATATTATTACAGCGTGGACAACCAAATCGAGCTGGTGAGGCACACTTGGCCTGAGCTGTTCACCCTCGGGCTGTCCCAGTCGTCGGACACCCTTTCTGTCCAGTCCATTCTTTGCACAGTGTTGTCGAATTTGCAGGCCTGTCAGGACAGGCTTTCCCCGCAGAAAATCAAAGAGGTGAGAATTGAAAATTATAAAAAAAAATATGATAACCAAAATGAATTAGTATAAAGCATAAATTATTACTTTTTCAACCTTAAAAAGAATCTAGCATTACCTTAAGTCACTTTCTTAAGTGAAGCATTATATTTTAACCTTTTATTACATTTTAAATTTTTAGTGAATTTACAAAATTTCACTTAAAATCATCCAGAAACCCCCAAACTTTGAACCAAAATTAATTGGCGCACCATATTTTTATTTTCATTAATTGTTTTTTTTTTTCATTATTCCAGATCTGCCAACTTCAAATTTACGTCAACATTATGCAAAAGCTGAAACTGTCAGACCAGGAATTTGCATACATGAAAGCCATAGCCCTATTCAGCCCTGGTGAGTTTTTTTTACAATTTTTTTTCTTATATTTTTTAAATAAATTTTTATTTTTTGAAACAGACGTGCCAACTTTGAGCTCAACCTCGTTGATATCGAGCATTCAAGACAAAATCGTCCTCGAGTTCAGAAACCACCTGGCAGGGGACGGCAAAAGGTTTTCGCAACTGCTGCTGCGGATGGCGCCGCTGAAAGCCTTCCAGTCGCGCCAGCTCGAGGAAATTTTCTTCTCAGGTCTCATCGGCACTGTCCAGATTGACAGCGTGATTCCCTACATCATCAGGATGGAGGACGAGTTTTTCAACGGCCAACTAAGTGGTGAGCAATTTTTAAAATAATTGTTTTTTACTTGTCGGTTGAAAATCAAATTTAAAGAAGAGGCTAATAAAACTGCCTGATCGATTTTTATGATGATTTTTCCCTAAATTAGCATTGGATTGTAAATTTCAAATTCATTGATATCAAAGGGAACATAATAAGAAAAATTTAATTTGATGTGATAACTGAAATTTTAAAAATCAACAATGTTTCTTATGGGAATTATTCTGAAAATTAGCCTGACAAAAATTGATAAAAATTTCTCCAATCATATTTATCACCGACCCCAATCAAGTTACAGTATAATTAAAAGAATTGGTCGATCAACATTAAAATTTGCATTGATCTTATGAGAAACCTGTGCAAAGCTCTTTTCCTTTCAAATAAATTGTTTTACTATAGTTGAAGTTTTTTAACTTTATGAAATTTTAATTGATTTTTTCATCAACTTCAGGCAACCCGATAAATTTGACTTCGTTGAGCAGCCGCCGGTCGGCCGAGGCGAGTCAAGAGGAAAACGGGATGGCTCAGGATAGAGAAGAAGATTCGGATTAGTTTTCGACACGCTCCGTGGTCTCAGATTTTGTGTATTATTTTTTTGTGATTTCCAGTCATTTAAGGCAAAGCAGCTGTAAGTACTTGAGGTGTGTGTGTACGGATAAAGTATTCTTCTATTTATAAAAAAAGAAATTAGTATACCAGGTTCATTTATTATAATTTTTTTTCGCTCTGTATAAAGTTTAAAATGCAGTTGTCTAGTCTGTGTGCAGATTAAACCAGCGACATTGATTGTCTTCAACGCACTTACGTGTGTGCCTTGCATGAAAAATATTCTTCCATTATTGGAAACAAATTGTCACAAATTTATGAGTATTTTTGGCACAAAAACTGGTACACTTGATGCCTCCGAACAAATTTTTTAGAGGGACGCAATTGTAGTTGTAGAAACGAGGTAAAAGTATTTTTGGTACAATTTTAACTGAAAAATTTGTACTAGGCCAAAAAATAAATGTATCATATATAAACAGGAACATTTGAATAAAGTACGGATTTATTTGAAAAAAAGAAATTTGCTTTTTCGTCCCAACAAATTCGAAGCAGGAAAGTATGAAATAATTCCGAGTATAGTAAAGCGTGACGAAATAAAAGTCCAATCGGGAATTTACACTAAGTTAATTAAGAGCTCAGTTTTAATGAATGGCGGGTCGGCCGGCGGCGTGCGTGAATTCGCACACGATGCACCAGGGAGTAGTTTCGCCGGCTGCTTTTCCGGGAAAACGAACCTCCCCATTAACAAGTGAAAACTACGGCCTGACAGGGCCGCGTGCATTACTCTCTGGGTTTCCTGGAAAAGAAGCAGACGAGAAAATGCACCGTCAGGGAAAACGAGGAAAAGTTTAACTGAACCACCTTGATTGCCGGTGGAGTAAATTTTTCACTGCTGATAAAATTGTTTGTACAAATTTTCTGTAAATAAGCAACATTTTTTTTATAAAAATGAGCAAAATCATTTTGTAAAATTAAGATCAAATATAAAAAAAAAAATTGGAATAAAAATAAATACTGATTTTGAAGAGGTTACAAGACCGATTTTTATGTCATAATTGCCAATTATTTCCTATAAAAATTTACACAAATTTAAAAAAAATTCAATTAATTGAATGTAGGCAACCTGCATAGCTTTAAGAAGGAGTTGGTTGCATAATTTACTATGTAAAAATTAGCGCAATTTATTTTAATAGACCATTGCGTCATTTTTAGATTGACATTTCGTTAACAATAGATATGTCACTCTATAATTATGAGAAGTGCATTTTAAAACAATTAAACCAAAAATAGCAGCAAATATGATATACATATGATTATGAGTTAATTAGAGAGCTCTATTTCTATCCGTGTTATCGCGGAGCGTAAATGTTCAAAAATAGCTCTCTTTTTCAATATATCTTTCCATGCGCGTTTATATCCGCCGCAATCTGATTATGCAAAGCTCGGCGCGTTTCCACGGCGAGAAGAGGAATAAATCCGATTGCTCAAAAGAATCTCCGCCGCAAATCGAAGAGAAAGATTTAAAGAGTTCATCGCATTTTGGGATCATATGAGGTGTGCGTGAGATCCAAATCGAAATTTGGCCTTGTTACGTCACGCAGGGCCGTGTCATGACGTAGCAATGTGTAATAATAATGTCCATGCAGCGCGCCCATTCAGTTATATGAGTCAAAATGAAATAGTTCTTGCATTTTTTTTAAGTGGAATTTTATTTTCAAGCCTAATTTTAGTAATTAAATACATTTAAATTAAAATAGTATATAATTACAAAAAATTGTGAAATTTTTATGGAAAAATTAAAGAAATTTTGAATTATCTTTTTCAAGCACTTATTTTCAAAAATTTGGATCCGTCAAAATCCCACGAACTGAAGAGAATTCCTGTTTAATTCTTTCTTTTAATTCACACGGAATTTATGACGCGAAATGTTTTATTATGACTGGCGTTACTGCTACCGAAACATAACACATTCCAGCACAAGTTTTACTGGCCCATAATGAAAGGTCGGAATTTGGAGCAGAGAATATGCGACGCATTTAAAAACGTAGAAACCGACCAGAAATTATATTGAGAGATCTTCCAAATGTTTCATTCAATAAAAGGACAAAATCAAAAGATAGAAGTTTTCAAATTGCTTATTTCCTTTAAATTTGAAACAAATTTGAAAAATCAGAGGAAAATAAGGAAATGTTGTGCAAGCTGACAGGTCACATTGAATTTGATATTTCTCATTTGGTATTGTGTGTTGTGGTGAAAACGTGCATGCTTTTGAACAAAATATATAATCACTCTTTGTATATTATTTCCATAAATGTCAGAGTTGAGGAAAATCGCGTGGAAAATAACAGAACACGCCGCCCACCAGCAACACGTCATACTTAATATCTGTGCGGCCTCTATAGATCATAAAAATATACACACGATGGGACTGTGATGACGTTTCGTGCAACTACAGCGAGATATGAAAACCATGTGCAGATAAAACACACGCTCGTCTACAAATTATTTCCAGAAGGATTGAGAAGGATTAAAACACCTTTTTCGTAACATTTAATAATTCAGAGTTTGAGCTAATTGATTTTAAATTCTAAATTTAAAGGAAATTTTAAATAATTTTGTAATTCATTAGATAGATATAAAAATATTTATAAAATTTAAAACAAAAATTTCAGCAATTGAAATTTTTTTTAATAAATTTAATTGTTGTAATTTCTTTTAGAATGAATTATTTTGGAGAATTTCAAATTTTTAAAATAGTCTTTTTAAGCTTAATTAAATATTTTTTATAGGTCGCTTTTAAAAGTTTTGTGTAAATTAGGTCCTTGTGATGGGAAAACCACAAAGCAACTTTTGAAATAATAATAAAATATTTGAACAAGTGAAGACAAAAAGCTTGTTAGTGAGGAGGTCGCGCTGCCCAGCTGTATGGGAGAGAGAAAAAGCTGTCAAAACATTCCTGTCCGATTAATCTGTGTTTGCTCAAAGCATTAATGGCAAGAGCGAGGAGGTGTGCGTGTATCAACACACTCGCACGGGAGGCGGTACTAATTGTTGCAACAATGACGTCATTGTTGGGCGAACGGTGGTCTAGCCGCGAGCTTTATTTTATATATTTTTTGTTCCAGCGCGTTTTATTTTTTGCAGCCGCCGAAATGAATCCTTGTTTGGCCGCCGCAAAGCTATAAGCCGGACATCCTGGTATCACCTGAGAAAGAAGAACCTTTCCAGGTATTCGCACAGGTAAACACACAAGCCACTTGTTATTTCCAAGCAGTTATTTCTGCCAACATACGACGCTTGATGAATTGGAGAGCAAACATGGAGCATAATTATTACAATCGAAAGTGTTTGAAATAAACTTTATAACTTGCAAAAGTGAACTTTAAAAAAAAAAATCCAATATGTTTTAATAGAAATTGCTTAATCAAAGTTTTTTTTTTAATAATTAATTTAAAAAAAAATTATTCAAATATCATTTCTTTATACAGATGTTCAAAAAAATTATCTAGATAATCACAGTTTTTATTTTCCTTTCAATTTTGATTTGGCTGATTTTTATCAATTTTCAGAGAAAGAAAATATATATTTATTCAATTAAATTTATTTTATTTTCAAATATTGCAGTCTTTCTTATGATGTCTCCCTGAAAATTACATTTATAAGTCAAGCAAATTATGCAAGAGAAAAATTATAATCTGAATAAATTTTTAGCAGAAAACGCTTAAAAAAATTCAGCTCAATATATCTCTTGTTCTCAAACCCAAATTATTATTTCATTTGTAAAGAAAAAGTGTCTTTTTGAGTCAGCAAAATACCGTAAATGATTATCTCACGAACTTTTGATGATCGATTTCAGGAAAAGAAAGGTTTTTAGCAGCAAATATAAAGCGTGTTTTCCCCAATCAAGAGCAACACAGTTACAAAACGATGCATCTGGGTTTTTCGATCGCGCGGCGCTGACAATGGGCTCCATAATAGCCACACACAAAGAACCAAAGAGCCGGATTTGGTGCATTTTTTGCAAGAGTCTCTCGCGAATGCATGCAGGCGAAAGGGAATTCCCGGCCCGCTATCTCTCTCCGAGTCGCGGAAATTATATTATTTTATTGTGTCGAGCGCGGCGCGCAACTCTTTTGCACTGGAATTTTTACTCGCTCGGAATGACACGCGTATGTAAACTGAGCGAGCGCACCGACGTATGTACACAAACACACACCTCCACGCGTGAAATCTTAATTAGTCACAATGCTACTTTGGTGGCAAACATATAAACATGCCCAACTCTGTGATTGTTTTTGCAGCACAAAATGCTCCTGGCCGCGAGCCAACTTGGTCAATTTTTCATCCAACATTTCCCAAGTGACTAAATTAATTCTGATTTAACATCTTGAAAATAAAAAAAGTATTATTAATAATTAAAATTTATCTGTCAATCAAAATATAAAAAATATCGTCGTCTAATTGTAAGTTGTAAGCAATGATTACTGGTCCTTTTCATGCTCATTGTAAAAATGTTCAAAATAATTGAAAAATGAGTTTTAGATAAATTTTGAAATAGGAATTTTACATTTTGCATTAATGTCCATTAAAATTTAATTAAATACGTTTCCTTTTCTGATCTTTTTTAAGATGAAAATTTGCTGTTAATTTTTACATCATAATTAATTACTTAACGGAGAAGCGATTCACGTGCTAATTTTAGCGAGGCGGCCGCAAAAAAACGCGGCGCCTCTGATCGAAATACTTTTTCCCGACCTATAAGGAAGAAGCCGGCATCAGAAATAAACGGCCTGGCATGCACGTGACGACACGCGGGCGGCCAAAATAAACGCAATAAAACTGAAAGCGGCGGCAGTAAATTTGAGCAAATTTTGGCAGGAACCAAAAACAATAAAGCGACAATATTTGCAGCAGCTGTCCGCCGATGGAATTCAAGTGGCGCCGAATTACTTTCGAGTGGCGCCGCGACGAATGAAATTATATTTGTCGCGCGTGCTTTTTTTTAGCAGAGACGAGAGGGATTCCCCGCCAAGGGATTTCCCTCGCCGCTTCACAGATAATTAGCACCTTCATGCTCGACGCCCACGTGTGTTTTTCACAGACATAAGAGTTAAACGCGCGAGAGGAGACCAATTAAATGAAATAAACGCAGATTTTTAAGGAGACTCACAAGTTAAAATTTTATAATAGGAATTAAATTTATTTTATTTGACCTCTATTTTAAATATTTGTCAATCGTGAGCGAATTATATATTTATTTGCTTTTATTCATGTTTAATGCTATTTCTAATCAATTTGCCCTAAAAATCCTCCCTTTTTTGCCTAAATTTACTTAAATTTTTCCTAGTATTGCCAAGTAATAACTATATGTATTCAACAATTAAGTTATTCAAGAAATTAAAGAAAATTTCCAAAATAAACCTGAAATCTAAAAAAATTTTATTCTTGTTTTCAGATTTTTTTTATCATAATGAAGGAATTTGCAAAGATCAATTGTTAAAATTAATTATTGATCAATTAAAAGGTATAAAAGATTCATTTATTTGTTTAATTCAGGTTATTTAATAAAACATTAATCAACAAATTAAAGGAACGTTTTGCAATTGAAAAGAATGATTGAGATTTTTATAAAAAGAAAAGTTAAATTGTGTGCAGGTGTTTGAGTGAAAATGATCCCAATAACCTCTAATCTAATCCTTTGCTCTTCTATGATAATTTTTTTCTCTGAATTATCATTCAGCTGCAAGCAATCTCAGTTCGTCTCTGGGTTTCCCTCTCTGTCGACTTCCCATTGCTCGTCTGATCGATTCCACTTTATGTTTGCTCATAATTCTGATTGAATTAAAAGGATTTACTCCCAGTTTCAAATTAAACAACAAAGCAAAGATAAGGAGAAGAAAAGCGCCGTCACTGTTTTTAACCAAATGGAATATGTATAATTAATTAATTACACACATTTTGAAAATAATAAACTTGAAAAAAAAACTGCCGCTTTATCGGCGCTGATGTAACGAGAAAACAATCTCGGCCGTGAGCAAACTACTTAAAAAGCGCCAAATAAGATTAGGTTTGATCATCGTTTGCCTTCATTGTCAAATGAAAATTTTAGTTCTATATAATTTTTTACTTATTTGTTCATTCTACAATTCATTTCAAAATTAAATTTGTCTAAACAAGAAAAAGAGATCAAACCCAATTTTACCAGCATCAAATAATATTCATAAAAATTTTAAAAAATGGCACTGCAAGAATTATGACTTTATCAATGAGAGTTTCATTAGACAGTCCTTTTAGCTATACTTTGGCAGATAAACTAATTATTCAGGTTGCAAAAGGTGACCTTGAACTTTGACCTACGACTTTGGTCACTGTAGCAAAGTTGTAGGGAGTCTTATTCCTGACAACTTTGGTTATGGCAACATATGCGCTATTTTCAACAGGAGCTGAAATATTTTCAATTTTTCAAAATTCCCTTGAAATAAAAATGCCAAAATTTGAGCCCTTGTAAAATAGGTAATCTTTAAGTATTTTTAAAAATCCTTTTAAACTATTTGTCAAAACACTTGTTGCAACCAACGTACCAATTATTGTTAAAATCAGTTGACCCCAGGCCAAGAGTGGGTCAAAATAAATTAAAAAGGACAATAATTTTTAGCTTTATTTTATGTCAAAATAAATTTTTTCTTTTGTTATTTCCAGATGAAAAAGAGAAACGTGACCCGAAAAGTAAATTATTGTGCACTACTTGTTTGATTGTTTGTTAGGGTTGCGAGCGTCTTTGTGCTTATTCACGCGCTATTTTTGCGGAAGAGTGAGAGGCTCGTCCGTGGCGCGTTCTTTGGCCCCTTGTTTTACGAGAGTCATTTCATTTACTGCAGCCGAGCCGCGCATTCCAGCCCACGAAAATCCACTTCCTCATTTTTATCGTGTGTGTCGCGCGGAAAATCAATCGTTACGGGCTTTGGTGAAATAAATCCATCGCTTTGTAGGTCAAAAGCCGCCGGTTGGAACATTTGGCGACATAATGAATGGGTTCTTTTTTGTGGCAATTTGCCGGTGAGATCATCGGACGGACCAAATGTGTGTTTGAGAAAAAGATAGAGATGATTTAATGCCCGCGAAATTTCACCTGAACTTCTCGCGGAGAGAGAAAGAAAAGAGTGATGTCAGTCATTTTTGTTTTGGTGATGTCACTTTTCGCTCCATTCAAGTCGAAAATTTCAATGGGCTGCACACAGAGGATAAAAGTGTATTTCTTTCAGGTTACGCATTCATTAGGGGCTATTCAATGTATAGGAATGAAATTGACAGCTTCTGAATATATCTGAAAGGTTTGACAATTTTAGCATTTAAATTTAATTAGGAGGATTAGAAGCTGGAAAATATTTTATTGAAATTAGCAATATTTTATATAAATGGTTTATTTTCAATTTTAATGCAGAAATTATTTTACAGTGTCTTATCAGAGGTGAACAGAATGACTATCCGAAATAATGCTCTGAATCATTTAGAAAGTATAATAATAGAAAAATCAAATTTAGCAAGTTTTGATTAACAGCAAAATATGAATTTGTAGTTGTTTCTTAATTTAGTAAATAAAATAATTCACAATTCACCATTTGCGAAATCAAATAACATTGGTTCTTATGACAGCTTCATCTTAGAATGATTGAATCTTTTCAATCCTAAGACATGTTGTACAAAATGCAAAATAAAAAATATTGGCGTTGGAAAAATCAAAATTGGTTCAGCGTGGGGCTGTAGTCAGGCGATCAAAGATTTGTAAAGTAGGCAACCGAAGCCAATTTTTTGAGCTTTTACAAATCTTTCATCGCCTGACTACAGCCCCACGCTGAACCAATTTTGATTTTTCCAACGCCAATATTTTTTATTTTTCATTTTGTACAACATGTCTTAGGATTGAAAAGTATCAATCATTCTAAGATAAGGCTGCCATAAGAACCAATGGTATTCGATTTCGCAAATGGTGAATTAATGAATAATTAAGAAGTTTTAAAAAATTGGGAAAATATAACAAGATTCATAGATGTAGGATTAAAAATATAAATAAGTTTCTCTAATTTTATAAAATTGTAAATATTTTCCCTCAAATTCAATAAAAAAAAAAATTAAAATCTCATGATTTCGACTATAATTTGAAAGTGAATTTGCATCAAACGGAGCAACACAATGGAAATCAATTCACTTACCCTACTTCCGGTTCGCGCGTTTGATATTGTATAAACTGGGTTTTTAACCAAAGCGTTCATTGTTCGCTCTTTCCCTGAATCGGTTCGAGGAAACTCCGGCCGCGTCGGGAAGCATGAATGAATCACAAACACACGCGAGAGAGAAATATTTTGCACTACTTCCAACATTCCAACCTTCACCTTCTTTTTCTCGGCGCCAGATCGATCGAAGAACGGAACTGTCTTGCAAAATTATTAAATAGCAGACAGCGAAAAGAAACAAGTTTATAAACATCATCTCGCGATAATGCGTTTGCAGAATACGTGCGGTGATTCAGGTACAGAGCGCACATGTTAAGATGCCTTAAGTAGGGAAGCGGTTTCTTTGAATGAATGGACAGAATAAGAAGGGATTCCTGGAATTTAAAATTATTTTTGGTAAATAATTGACATTTATTTTACGAAGTCTTGGAAATGAAAACTATTTTGCAAGAGATGAGATTTGCTTTATACAGTGCTTAACATTAATTTTGGATAAAATTGGCATTTCTGGTTTTGTTGGCAAATTACATACACGAGAAATATTAATTTTCTTGCTTCAATAGTTTTGTTTATTTGTGATTTTTTGAAGGCTTTTATAAAAACAAATTTGGTGGTTTTGGTTGATATTTTGTCAAATAATGAAACTTTCATTTGAATAAAAAAGGTGTCTTTTGTAAATAGGTTAAAAATATAAGTAAATTTAAATGTTTTTGAAAAAAAGTGGTAAAAACTTCCAATTGTCTTCCAATAATTGTAAAATTTGAAGTCTATTGTTGCAAGGATTTGATTTGAACATGCTTATAAGGAGTCCCTTAAAAATGACAGAACCAAAAACAGAGTAATTTTAATTTCACACATTTAGCTACATTGAAAAGAGAGCCGATTTACACATCGTGATGAAATTGTAAAAGTTTGAATTTAAATCAAAATTTAAAAGGATTTTGTAGCATCTCATTTGCAAAGACTTATTCTATCCTTTAAATCACCTTTTTTAATTCACATGAAAATGACTGGAATAAAAACCGGCATTTTTAGGTAGAATTACATTTGCCGCTGTTATTTCGGAGAAGAATAATCAAATTGTAATCCATTGTAAATTTGAAGCGTCAATTAGCGTTGTTACGGGAGGAGAAAAGTTGAGGGTGCAAAAAGGGTTGATTTTCAGGCGAAAAATCGAGTCTCAATGCACGGAGGGTGCGCGCGATTCCGAGTAGCGAGTTAATGAATGAATGCAAGTTCCTGGAAGGGGTGCGCGGGCCGGCCACCTGTTGGTGCACCCCCCTGCAGCTATAAAGGAGGCGGCGGCGGCGGCCGAGGCGATCACTCGCTCGCAAGAGGCCGCTGCTCTCTGTCGGCGCGTTCGGTCCGCCCGCCCAACCAAAGCACACTCGCAGCTCGCTCGCCAACAATGCAGCGCCAGTGATGCATTGTTGGTGCGTCCTGCTGGTGGTGGTGGTGAGCGGAGGCTTCGGCGTGCAGGCCTTCCACGACCCCCAGCATCAACGACTCAAGAAGAGGCTGCTCGCCGGGCTCGGATTCCAAACACAGCCCGACGTCGCAAAGGTTCGTCTTTCAATTTTTTCCTTCCTTATTCTGGCGTTAATTTTCTTTCTTCATTTGCAAAATTAACACCTTTCAACTTTATCCAAACATTTGTTTGTAAATTACATAAAGGTTGAGCGAAACTGACACACTTTTGATTTATGGAGAAAAAAAACCGGTTCAATGATGAAACTATTTTGACCAACTTTTCCCTTTCTTATTTTATAAATTTAATCTTATTTTCGATCTGCTTTTTTATGCAAATCGTCATTATTTGTACAAAATATGTTTTTCTCTCGCTGTACGGTGCCCATATTCCAATTACACAACCGCCGCAACAAGCAGAATCCGCTCGAGATCAATGGTCAAGAGAAGCAATCTATCGGCACGTCATTCTCGCTCTCTACTCAATTTTTTGATTCCTTTATCGCTGCACTGCACATTTCGGCCCAAAACCAACAATGCCAAGCCTTCTAATTGGCGTATCGACGCGTGAAAGGAGTACTATTAATTATCAGTTTCCCTCTCGCACGTTAGCTGGGAAATTTTCAATAAGCACTCGATTTAATCAGCTTGAAAAAAATTGTTATTGATCTGCATTAACACGCCTCAATTTCATTCTTACTAAAAATCACTTATAATTAATCAATTTTAATTATTTTTTTAAAATAAAACTTGAATAATTTGTAAAAGTTAATTAAAACCTATGAAAATTCTAAAATAGTTTTTAAAAATATAAAAATAAATTTTCTATTATTTTGGTATTAAAAAATCTTGTTAATTTTTCAAAATTAAATTAAATTACCTTGAGAAAGTGTTCTAGTGATCTAGTACAATTGCAGTAGGCCAAGGATGAAATTGGTTTTAAATCGCTTTTCAATTGATCATTCCAAGAATCTTTACATTGATAAGAGCAGGAGATTAACATATAATCTCTCAAAATTTTTAAATCTTATAAAAAAAAGTAGTGATAATTGAGATTAAGCGTAGTTCACAAATGAAATAGAAGTGAGACTGCCCCAATTTTTTTGTGTCCTTTTTTCTCCGAAGGTCGCCCTTGGTGTGCGCAAAAAATGTCACTCTCGGCAGATCCTTTTCACTTTTGAGGTTCAGATTTATTTGACGCGCGCGGAATTCTTTCTTCGTTTTATTGCGGTGTCGCACGTTTTATTTTATTAAAAAAAGTTGCGAGAGAGAGAATAACCGGACATGATTAGCATAGAAATAATTCAAGCTGCCCATCCGGGAGGAGTTTTCAAGCATAATCTGCTTTTTTCGCGTGCAGACAGAGAAATATGAAAAGGATATGAGAGCAGAAATTATTACAGTCAGGGAATTCCCGGCAGCTTTTCACTCTCTCTCGGAGCGTGAAATCGGCGCGCGATCAGCCTGAAAATAAAATTTAAACGAGATGCACATCGCAGGTGAAATTCCGCAGGAAATACCAACTTGTCAGATACATAATTGTTGCTCTCCTTTTTTTCCAAATTGGCCTGGGCCAATTACAATTTCAAAGAGCGCGCCGCTGATTAATATATAAACTCATTTTCCCCTGCTTTTGTAACGAGCGGGATTTTCAGATTGAGAGAGTGTAACCGTTTTTCTTGGAAAATGGACCGCACATCTTGTATACAGCCGGATTTGGCTTCTTGCGGTTGCGGATCATTTTTTCTACTCCGCGGTTTTGGCTTTCGTGCGTTTAATAAATGAATATTTCAACAGAAGGAAAATATGTTCAGTTTTCCTTTTGCATGTTTCATTTAAAATGTTTTTTTTCTTTATTTCTGAGAAGCACTTTTTTCAAACGAATCGATATTTTTTTCTGCATTTTATTAAATTTATTATTGAACTAAACAAAAATTATTTAGAGAGAATTAATTGTAGAAGAAATTATTACAGGGTTTCCTCAATTATATGGATTTTTCGTGTTAGGAATTTTGAGTTCGTTAGCTCCTCTTCAATATCAGAAAGAGTTTCTCAATATTTTCGTAATTTGATGCGTTTTTTAAGACAAATTTAAAACATAAACTAATAAAACTCGTTACAAATATTTAGGTAGGAATTTTTATCTTATTTGAATTCAAATTTAATTTTCTCAATTACTTTTGTGCAGATTTTTTTCCGCACATTGTATAGTTTTAATTTATTTATATGATTTTATCTTCTTTTGAAATTATCCATAAACTCCAAAACTTGATCAATTTCAAGCCACTTTTTTTCCTTGATCGAACTAGATAGTTAATTGATGATGTTGTTGCAGATGAACGTGAGCCGCGAAGAGTACGAACGCATGTACCGCGTGTATTTGCAAAGCGTTGAGAAGCAAAGACTGCAAGAAGAGGCCCATCAGGCCCAGCCTCCCCAAACCTTCCACAGCATTCAAAACGAGCCCAGCAGTGGTGAGTCCCTTTTTTAAATAAAAAAAAACACTCGATTTTCCTTGAGACGATTTCGCTCGGCGCGGGTTCAAAAGTTATCGCGCATAAGTGACTGTTAAAGATGGTCGTAAAATCATCTCGCATTTAATATGCAGCGCATCCGAAACGATAATTTTAATCGCTGGCAATTCGTTGAGCAATTAGCATGTACATGATATTTATGATCTCGAAACGCAGACCTTGTGATGCTGACGCGATGCATAATTTATTCAAATAAGTTTGAATTAAGAAATTATTTTAAATAAAAAAGGAAAAAAGTAAAATTATTTGTATTTTAGAAAAGTAAACATACAATTTATTTTTTTTTTAATTAATTGGAAATTCTGTTTTGCTGATTTAAAATTTTTTCACTTATTTAATGATTGAATTCTAAAGCAAAATGTATCTGATATTGCTTTAGTATTAACAAAAATAATACTTAAAATATAAACAATTTATTAAATATTTTCGAAAACTTTTCAAATTTAAATTTAATATAAAATTTGTGTGTAATTAAAGCAGATTTTTGTTAATTAGCTTCGGTTTTTCCGCGAAAACTAGTGGAGTTCATAAAGAGGCAGTCATTGAACAGATGAGCGGGGCCGGAACGCAAATATTTCTCAATGGCTGGCATATCAAAAGAGCAGCCGGCCGCTCGTAAAGTGGCGAAGCGATCAAATCTGGCGCGCGCGAGTGCGAAGAATTTTTATTGGCGCGTTCCGCGAGAGATGAAATTCCTGCTCTCGCTAATAAATTGACCACCCCATTAGAAAAACAAACGTGTGCAAAGAGGCAAGAGCTGTTGTCCGTGGGGGTGCATTCAATAATTCAGGGGGAAAAGAAAAGAAAGCGGTTTATTTCGGGGCGGCCCGCGCATCATCTGCAAACTACGCAAGGCGCCGAAATAGACAAAGGCCGCTGCCGCTCCCGGACTACCCTAATTGGCATTAATGCCAAAATCATTAACTAGACCAAGTTTAAGGCTTTGCCATATTTTTAAAATTAATTTAAACTATTAAATAAAAAACAAATCGATTATGTAACAGCATAAAATTTAATTTAAAAAAATTCAACTTTAACTGATGCAAATCAAAAGAATATTTTGTTTTGTCTTTTTTTTTGACAATTACTTGTAAGTACAATATTAATGAGAGCAGATCACCACTGGCTATTAAGTATTAAATTTTATTTTTAAATTAATTAAAACAAAATTAGTGATTTTTTTGATTAAAGTTCACGTATATATGTTAAAAGAAAAGAAACACTCTCTTAGTAATTTTTGAAACTTATTGAAGATTTCGCATGAATTGGAATGAATCAAAACGCGTCCTGCTTGATCATAATCAATGATGCTCTTTTTAGTTTCATCAATAACTTTGATGTCGATTCCAAGAAAACACTGAATTTTTTACGGAATTTTCTCAAATGGAAAAACTTGATTTTAAGTTGATTAATATTTGATTTAAAATATTGTAAGTAAATATCTTTCTCGGAGATTTAAATGGGAATCGTCAATTTCAATTTAGATTCTTCGTCATTCAATTTGTGTCATTTCGTTACAAACTAACTGGACCAATGATTAAGAAGCCAAAACAAATGTTTTATTTTTTCACTCGAAAGTGAAATAAACAAATGCGTCAAGATTTTCAAACGGTTGACGTCACTAATTCCTAGAAGTTTATCGATGCCGGTGCATAAACCAAATCTAAAGACATGCACACACGAAAAAAGGGGTGAATAAAAGAAAAAGAAGCGTCGATTTGCATAAATAATGCGCGCGAGCCGCGATTGTTGTGGCGCCAAAAATAGCGTCACGCTCATTGAGGCGCTTCTAAAAATAGCGGCGCACGCAAATTGATAAAATTAGCCCCGCTTTGAGAGACTCTGAGATTATAAATGATGAGAAATGGATATAAAAATTCCGCGGGCGGAAATAGCCCGCGTGGAGGAATTCCGAGCGGCGCGCGCTGACAGCTTGATTTGCGCTCTAATCGCCGAATTATGTTTCAACATGTGTTTCGCGCGGCGCCGCGTGCTTAACACACTTTCCAACAGACTCACCCACCACGTGAGATCTTGGATTGACGCCACCGCCGCCCAGTTCATTTCGCATTCGCCGCCTTTTATGGAATTCCGCGCCTCATTGACCAATTTCCTCTTCAAAAAAGAGACAAACAACATTTTTATCTTAACGATCGCACTTCAAAACGCGATTGATTCACTTTTAGAAATCTCAAATTTTATTATAAAATATTGAAGACCTTTGTATAAATTCAATTTTTAATATTTCCTACATTAATCAGAAGCTATAAATCACTATAAATATGAATTATGACGCTTCAAAAGTGACAATTTGAAAGAAAAATTAAATTCATCATGTTACAAAATAGCTTTTTAAAAACTTGATTCTGTACTTTCAATTGATCTATGATTTGGGCAAGATTTTGTTTAATTTATTATTTTATTTCTCAAACCCGCCCTGACCAAAATTGATAAAAATTACATCCAAACTAGTTCATATCACCCTAATGAAGTTGGCAAAATAAAATCAATGGGTTTGCTTCACATTAATTATGTACAATGACTTTATAAAAACCGGTTCAAAAATCATTTTTCTCAGTGCATATCCATGAGCTCCCAGTTAATTCAAATAAATATGTACTTCTAAAATTTATTTTGATTTCATTTAAATTTAAATTATCATAAAATGAACAAATTATTTCCCATTTCCGAGACAGACCAGTCGAGATAATTATGAATGTGTCTCGGCAAGATCCGTTTTATTCATGAATTACAAGTTGCAGCGAGCTAAGCGTGAATAATGGCTTTGATTATACGGCCGGAATGTTTCTTTCTTTTTATTGTCCGACCCGCGCAACTGACCCTGCGCTGCCGTTGCGCGATAAACATCTCTTTCGTTTTTTGTGCATCTCGGCTTATCTTGTTGCTTTTGACGCAAACCGATGCACATGCGGAAAATAACTCGCATTTCCGAACCAACGCGTCACTCATTCAAACGACCTAGCTCTGATTGTAAATGCAAGTAAACCAACCCTGGAAGTTTAATTTTTTTCTAAACTTCCGCGTCGAGGGAGACGCGCGGGAGGTCGCGTTCTTTCCAAGCGGACTTTCCTCGTCATGTTAAAAAAGGATCGCATCAAATGCTGCATAATGCAAAGTAATGCTTGCCAGAGGTTAGGCAACCGGTCGGTCAGACGTGGCGAGCCGGTTGCATATTCAGTGGAAACGTCCAGTGAAAAATAAATGCTTTAGAATCTTTCCAAAATTTTAAATAATAGTTCATATTTAAATTTTCTTTTCAACGATAAAAATTAATTTTGCTTAAATAATGAGAAAAACAAAAAAATTAATAAAAATAGGTGATTATTTTCGTGTCTTTAAGGTAAAGTGATTATTAGGTGTATTAATTAAACGGAAAAAATAATGTCCAATTTAAATATATTAATAGCTCACTAATTTAAAGTAAAATAAAAATTGAAGAGAAGAAAACTCTCAAGGAAAATCGAAAGTATTTAAAAAAAATATATATATATATCTAAATAAAATTTATTTCAATTGATTTTTATTTTTTTTATTTTTGCTTTTGCAGCTCCGAGTGAGGTGGCGGGGAGCGAGGGTGTGCTGACGAGGGACGTGGACAGTTGGTGGTTGTACTTTCCGGTGCACCGAGAATTGAGTTGGCACGGCGTGGAGACGGCGGTGGTGCGCTTTGTGGTGCAGCAACACAGACAGCGGGCGCGGCGGCGGAAAACGCTGGTGCTGCGGCTGTTCAGGGTGGTGCCAGGGGGCGACGACCTGCTGCTGGACGAACGGCAGGTCGACCCTCCAGGGGGCAGCCGCTGGCTCGAGCTGGACGCGGCCGCAGCGGTCCACGCCTGGCTCGACCAGCCCCACACCAATCTAGGACTGAAAATCCAGTGCAAAGGCTGCAGGCTCAGCGGGGCCAACATTGATACTCAGGTAAATATATCAAATTTAATTTTCAATTAAAAAAAAAAATTATGTCACAAAATAATTACAAAATTTGTAGGAAATTGAAAATAATTTAAAAATTATTTTCAATTAAAAATTACGAAATTGTATTGCTCATATTTATTTATATTCCACTCAGAAAAACTCTCATCAAAATTTATATATATTTAAAATCATGTATGAGAAGAGTTGCTGGTCACTCACATACTCAAGTTGGAAAGTTTCAATTTCATAATTCATTTTGTACAGCAAAAGTGAAAAAAAAGAATAAGCTTTTTCATGAGGATTATTTTATTATTAATTATTGTATCAAATTTTGAGAATTTTATTGAAACTTAAATTGTTTTATAATTTTAGGAGAGACCAGCAAACAGCTCTGACGGCGCTGTTCTGAACGTCCTTGCCTCAAAATTCGCCTCTTCACACTCAAGACAGCGAAGGGCGGTGTGGAACCCAAAAAAAATCAGAGGGACGCCGTGCAAAGGAAATAAAAATCAATGCTGCAGGCACAGCATGGAGGTACGTTCGTCCTTAATTTACAGTCTTAATTATAACAAAATACTTTCTATATGCATATTATTTATTTGAAAATTCTATTAAATTTGATTTTTTCACAAAATTTGACCATTTTTTCTGAACTTTCAATCAGTTCATTTAATCTACATGATTCTTGAAGTCATCTATAAACCGCTGAAATTAGGCAACAACCTGTAAAAAGACCTAAAATTTATAAGATTGTTTTATCTACATGGCGCTTTTGAATAGATGCAAACCCATCGTGAAATTTCTATCCACTTAAATGTAACTAGTGAGATTTCCAGCGGTTTTGAACAACAGAATTAACAGTACTAGCTTTTTCTACTGCAATTTTATTGAATTGGAAGTATTTAAATATTTGAATTTGTCTTACTTTTTAATTCTGTTTTTTATTCTTTGTTTAGAAATTTTTTTTTACTAATGAAAAGACCATCTGCTTCACAGCACTTTACTAACAAAAATCAAATTATTATTGAAGAAAAATCTCATTTTTTTGGAAATTTTGGAGACACTTTTATATAAAATCAAAGTGAAAATGTGCGTGTGAAATTAAATTTGAATGTTTGGTTTGCAGGTGGTGTTCAAAGACTTTGCAGACTTCAACTATGTGATCCAGCCGGCCAAGTTCGACGCGGGCGTATGTCGGGGCCGGTGCTCGCACAAGCAGCACACGTCGTACCACGCGTACTTCCAAAGTCTGATTTGGCGGCAGGACCGGTCGAGGGCGCCGCGTCTCTGCTGCGCGCCCCACAAGCTGCGCAGTCTGGAGATGCTGGTGCTGGACCCCGACGACCACTCCAAGCTCAAGATGGTCAACTACAAGGACATGGAGGTCGTCAACTGCGGCTGCAGCTGAACAATCTGCAAGCAAAAAGACTGAGACTTTTAAAAAAGCGAGAACACTCGAGAGTGCAAAAACCAAAAATTTAGAATTACGCGACGGAAATCAATCTCTATTTCTCATGTGCTGTGTGCGTCGTTGATAAGTAGTGAGCTGTCGACCGAGGAAATCTCTCACACTCTCTAATAAGGTGTAAAAAAAACTATAATTATACACGTTTGTAAATATAAAAGTGATACATTGGAAACGAATTTCTGGCTGCACTCCCTCATATCAATGTGTATTTCTACCTCCGAGCACTCTGCAAAAACTTTTAAGAAATAATTTAGTCAGAAAATTGCACGCTGAAGATGTTTTTAAGGTAATTGTGTCCAAAGCTTAAAAATGAATGAAAATTCAAACTACGTAAAATCCTTTCTGATTTAATTTAATTTTCATTTTTTTTTTGCATTCAAAGTTTTGGGCAAAACCACCTTAAGCTCTGCGATTAGGTTTTTGATGGTCTTGATTGTTTATATCGTAACAACTCTCACTAAATGTACTGGAAACACCACATTATACATTAGCAGCATTTTTCATGGCAAAATCATGCTTAGATCTTCAAAAGCAATACAATTTACATACAAACACAAAACTTTTGATTTTACTGCATTTCTTACTGTTATTTAACTGCTGTGTGAAGAGAGAAGGTGGAATTGCGTTTTGTGTCCTCTTAATTGATATTATCTATATTCATATATTTATTTATTGTATAAAATTTAAAAAAAAAATGCAAGCTGGGTGTGTATTGTGTTCGTCTTAATTAAGTTGTTGACTCAGGAAAATGCAAATTTGTTTATTTATAAAGAGAGAGAGACGAATAAATTACATTTTTAAGTTCCTATAACGCTCCGTGTTTTCATTTCTGAGTGAAATGTTTTTCCTTCAAACCCTCATCAAATTAAACTGCAGGCACAATTACGTACTTCCGGTTAAACTGGACGAGACTGACAAAAAGGATTGATAACAAAGCTCCCCTCTTAAAAAAAAAAAAACTCCAAAAGGTTGCGACGACCACAAAAGGTGCCATGTGGAAGCACTCTTTGTTTGTAATATTTCTGCTTTTTAACGTCACTCTTTGGATTGCCGAAGTCCAATTTGAGTTTATTGATTTCACAGTGTATAGCAAAATTTTGAGTAGGTTTCATAATCAAGATGTTGCACCTCCGCCGAGCAATCAAACACAAGTACAGGTAAAATTCATTTTTATTAAAATTAAAAAAAATGTTGAAAAGGAAACAAATCCAAAATTTAAATATTTATAAAGAATAATTATTTATTATTAAACAACTTCATATTTTATTTTAAGGAAGTCTTTGTGCAAAAATTAAAATAAAAAACGTCAATTCTATGCAACAAAAGTTTAATTTCGAGTCATGATTCTACCATAATTATTGTAAAAAAATTATTCAGAAGTTTAATTAAAACTGTTTATTACTATTTTGTACGTTAAAAAAACTAATAATTTTAGGAAAAAATATACAATTATTTTAAAAAGTTTCGAATATAATTTATTGTTATAAAAACGTAATTTTAATATTTGATTTTATTCTCTTTTTAACATTTTGAAATCGTGAGATTTTAACTATTTCTCTCCATCTTGGTAAAATATTTTAATTTCATCTTTTGTAAAAATAATTTACACTTTTTCCCAATTTCAGACGACAACAGTCGCGGGCGTCACTTTCAAGAAGCGCGCGTGTCCTTGGGGGCCGATCGTGACCTCCGAGGCTGGCGACGGACGAATGGCGAACCGGATTTGGGAATACCTGGGCACGTGGGGTCTGGCCAAGTTCCTGGGTCGGCAGGCGTTCGTGCCCAAGGTGACCTTTGACTGGCTGCTGCCCATTTTCCCCGACCTCGATCTGCCCATCTATGAGGAAATCAAACATTGCAACCTGAGTCTGCAGCGAATCAGGGAGGTCGACTCGCTGGACACGTTGAAGGAGCGCGTCCAGGGTCAGCACCTGATTTTCGAAAAGTGGTACGTCCTGCCCAGGGTGGTGCTGCCCTACCTGGACGAGGCGCGAAAACTGTTCCGCTTCGCCGACGACCTCGTCCTCAAAGTCAACCAAACCATCAGGGCCGTCGGTGGTGAGGGCCGCGTCCTGGTCGCCGTCCACGTGAGGAGGACCGACTACATTGGCTTTTTGGTCAATCGCTACCATTTGACCATCGCCAACAAATTCTATTATTTGGTGAGAACTTGGAAATTTAGCAAAAATTATTATAAATAAATCTATAAAAGAGGAATAAAATAAAAATGTAAAATTTCAATAAAATTATTTTATAGAATAAAATGTTGTAAAAGGACGAATCCAGATGCCTTCAAATCTATTAAATCGATATTTTTTAGTTAATTAATTTTTATTTTAAAAAATATAGTTTTTTAAGTTTGCATAAATCATTAGAATTTAATTTTACTAGAAGAAAGTTTAACAAAGTTTAGAAAAAATGGTCAGTAAAACTGTGAATTAATTATATTTTTCGTCACTATAGGATGCGATGGACTGGTTCCGAAAAAACATTGGAGGAAAATTGCTCTTCCTGATTGTGAGTGATGACCCGCCGTGGTGCGAATTGAACTTGCTGGGCCAGGAGGACGTCGTGATGGCGTCCAAGGACACTTACCACGACCTGGCCCTGCTCACCTTGGCCGACCACAACATCATCGACTACGGCACTTACGGCGCCTTCGCAGGTCTTATGACCAAAGGTCACACGGTCACTCTGTTTTCCATCGACTTCGACCAGGTCATGGCCAAGTACAAGAACTGGCACGTCATGGACGAAAGAAAATATATGACCAAATTGCAATAAAACAAATAATATAATTTTCATTCTCATAGTTCATTGCGAATTATTTAAAAAAATATTATTTTTAATTATTTTCCTCTCTTGTATGATTTAAACTGAGAAATATCGGATGTGAGTATAAAATTATGTATATTTGGGTAGTAAATTAATGCACTTTGCAGTTAATTATTTTATTGGAAGAAAAAAAAACAAGAAAATATGTCCTTTTTTGCAGATTAATTTATTATTGTTTCCAGCCTCACATAAATGTCAAAAAACATCGATGAGAAATATACAAATTACACATTTTATTTGGAAAATTCTGACCAAAATTTTAAACACAACAAAATATGAAAATCAAGTCGACCCTTCGCTTCTTTAAAATTAATTAAGGCACCGAAGTTTGATTGGAAGGTAAAGATGCACGCTTTATTCAACTTGTTAACTTTTGGTTTCCCAGTAAGATAAATTTTTATTTCGTTAAAGTTCAAAGAGAAATAAAAAAGTTTTACCGATCCTATTGGCCACAATAAAAAAAACTGAGAAAATTAAGAAACCAAAAGTTGGGAGGCCAAGAAGGTTGAAATGTGGACTTTTACCAATTTTTGCACCTTTTAAATTTGGCAAATATTGGTACCCTTTAAAGAAGCGATTGGGGGCAAAAAGAAATAATGCTTTTAACATCAATAGAAACATCAATGCATAGTTCAATTCTCATTATCTTTGACTAATTATTTGGGCTAAAATATTGTTGTATAACATGTCAAGTTGTGATCAGAACTTTGAACCCCAGAAGAATCAATTGAAATTTCTTTTAATTTCTCAAGACTTTGATTCAATTTTTGACAATATTCCGCATTTTTTAACGATGAAAAAGTAACATGATTTATTTATTTTCGTTTTTGAATAAATTCATGTATTAAATTTATAATTTTTCAAATAATATTAATTGAGATTGTTGTCGACTTGGTGCGGCTTGACGAATGTGGCCTTCTTGGAGGGTCTGTCGAGGCAGACGCAGCCGACGGGCGCCACCTCCTGCGTGGGCAGCATTATGTTGTTGGAGGCGAGGCGGAGGACGTCGACGGTGCCGAGGACGGTGGTGCACGACGAGCCGCCGAACAAGTGGCACTGACGGCCCTCGCAGGAGCACTGCACGTGCACCAGCAGCCGCGGCCACCGCGACTCGTCCGAAGACACGCTCAGCCGCGTCCCGCACTTTTCGCTCCCTTTTTCGAACTCGCTCTGTAAAAATTTAAACATTCGTCACAATTCCTCTCCTTTCATATCATATTAAAAGATCAATTAGTAATTATATATAATATTTAAATTATTATAAAATTTATTCCTACAAGTTTAAACTGTTACTGGAACCACATTAGTGAGCGACAATGTGCAACAAAACTAGGCTTTGAAAAACATTGAATAAATAATTTTGGATTTTAATATGGAATTAATTAATTTTAATACTAATTACTACCTCATAAAATTGATTACTTATTTGAATGAAGAAATTAAAGGCAACATAGTAAATTTTATTTAACTTATAAAGAATTTGATACAGAAAATAATCTCTTTGAAATATGTATTTTATTGCTAAAAAAAGGCTTCACATTGAAAACCTTTTTTTGTCAGTATAAATGCATAGATTTATTATCATAATATTTTTTTTTTTTTGCAATGATTTATTTTATCTACGTTTCTTTAATTTTGTTTCTATTACTCTAGTTTACATGAAGTCTGAATCAGAAATGGCAAAAATACAGATTATTTTAATTTTGTAAACCAATACTGATTTTTTTTTTTTTAAATAGAAAAAGTGAATAACTGACCATGAGCTTGTGGGCCGTCTCCCTGTTGGACTTGGCCTGCAGGAGGAGGAGGAGGAAGGTGGCCGAGGCGGATCTGCACTCGTCGGCTTTGGCCTCTGCGACGGCGGACGACTTGGCGGCCAGTTGGACGGCCAGCCAGGGGATGTGCGGGTGGTCGACCGAGTGCGGCCGGACGAGGGCGGCCGCCAGAAGTCCCGCCAGCAGCGCGGCTGCCAACATTGTGGTGGCCTGGGCGCCTCGGGCCGCCCTTTTAAGGGATGTCGCCACCCTTGCGTGGGCTCGGATTATCCCCCGGCCTGCTCAAGAAGATTTCCTTCATCTCACCTTGGTCACCATGGAGATTTTGACGCGCTCAAATTCACTACAAAGGTGCAAAGCAGGTAGATTATCCGCAATAATTTCGCCTCTTCAATTCCTCTCACAAGATATGCATGATAATTTCTTCCAGAGCCACGCGTGCGAAAGCAAATCGACCCACTTCTATGTTGTGACGGGTAAAAATGAAAAGTATTTTAAGTATTTATTTCTTAAGCTGATAGTTTATTTCTGTAATTAAAAGATTTTTATTGCAATATTATTGTTTTAAAAATTTGGTAAAGTGAAAATTAAATGTTCTTTGCTCAAAAAGAACAAGCTATTTTAAATCTTCAATATTTATTAGTGTATTTCAAATAATTTAAAACCCTGCACCTAACAATTAGGTTTCCTGAATTTTTTAATTGAAAAGGTGGTCAAATATTAGTAATTAAATTACAATTATCAGCGAGGGAGTCAAAATAAAATTATATTGTAAAACATTTAGTTACTTTCTAAATAGAGATATCATTTTTTTTAATGCTTAAATCAATTTCTAATTTTATTTTAAAAATATCAGAAATTTATAATGCTTAAAATTATCAATAAAATTCATCTTTTATAATTCAATTAAGTCTATCAAATTTCTCACAGCTGGTTTTTATATATTGGTAAGTTGAAGGTAAGACAATCTATATGCATTTTGTCTGTGCAAGATAAGAAGCGATCCGCAGAGGATTAAAATGCTATTCAAAGAATAAATCATTTCCTTCAATGACGCAGAAATGAAAGATAAAAATAACGTAATTAAAATTGATATCGTACTCGTCTGGCTCTGATTGTGAGCGGCAGTTAAGTGAGGATAAAATAGTAGTAAATCAACTTGTTTCTCTGTTTTACTTTGCGCATGACTGTGGTACTATTTTTCTCAATGTCCATCTAATAAACCATACAAATATTATTATGTACTCTCGTCCTTGTAACATTTAGCAGAAAACCCATTGAAATAAAAAATTGTCATAAAAATTTAAAATTAAAGAATATTTCAATTAAATAAAAAGTAAGTTAAAATTAGGAAAATAAATCTGTTCATCTTTCTAGCTTGCGAATAATTGTTGAAAAAGTGAAATAAAATAATGTTAAAAAAATTAAATCGTTTGAAGTTAAAATTGAGGAGATTTTGGTAAACTAAAATCATCTATTTGTTGAAAATTTCACACATTTTCTCGCCTCTTTTCTAATTATAAAATTCTACCTAAAATAACGCTCAATTTTCAGGAAAATATTAGCCTTTATTTATAACATTGCAGCCTTAATAAATTAATCACTTTATTTGGTAATGTTATAGTACGCGCGACGTGTTTTTTCATAAGTTGGCAACACTTGTGCTCCCATGTAAAAGTATCACGTCGCGCGTTCGATAGTGGTTTTACGTCGCGCATACAATAATGGTTTTACGTCGCGCGTTCAATACTGGTGGCGGTGAAATTGTTAAGGAAACCGATTATTTCATCGATACCTCGGCAACATGTATAGCACGCGCGACGCAATTCTTTTCCTACAATCTTAATTAAGGGGACTGCTAGGAAGAAAAGGGGCCCTTGGGATGGGTTCAGAATGGGGCAAGACGACCTCCGGAGGGCCGTGCGCACCCTTATAGCAGGCGCGTCCGGAGGGCGCTTTTCACCATCGTCAGAGGCGCGACGCACGGTTATAGGACGCGCGACGTATGCTTATAGTACGCGCGACGCATGCTTATAGTACGCGCGACGCATGCTTATAGTACGCGCGACGCACGGCAAATTAATTAAAAGGTGTTGCACGCGGCCGGAGTTGTGGGCACCCCACGAACCGGCAACTCGGAGGTGGGCAACCCCCAAGATTAATTTTTGCAGAAGCCGCGAGCGAGGGGTGGAGGCGCAGCGAGGTCGAGGACGTGGGGAAGGCCGTGCGGAGGGCGAGGACAAAAGGGCGGCTGTGTTCATGAGGGGGCTCCGCAGGAGCCCCCTCACGAACCCCGCCCTTTTGTCCCGCCCGGAGCCGGCCTTCACCACGTTCTCGGGCGAGCGCGCCTCCAGCCCGAAGCTCGCAAACCCACAACGGAGTTGCTTACAAAAGGAATCGTCTGCAAAAAGGGTTTAGAAAGCAAAAAGTGTGGTGCCCACAACTCCCTTTGCAGACGATTCCTTTTGTAAGCAACTCCGTTGTGGGTTTGCGAGCTTCGGGCTGGAGGCGCGCTCGCCCGAGAACGTGGTGAAGGCCGGCTCCGGGCGGGACAAAAGGGCGGGGTTCGTGAGGGGGCTCCTGCGGAGCCCCCTCCTGAACACAGCCGCCCTTTTGTCCTCGCCCTCCGCACGGCCTTCCCCACGTCCTCGACCTCGCTGCGCCTCCACCCCTCGCTCGCGGCTTCTGCAAAAATTAATCTTGGGGGTTGCCCACCTCCGAGTTGCCGGTTCGTGGGGTGCCCACAACTCCGGCCGCGTGCAACACCTTTTATAATAATTAATTAGTCGTGCGTCGCGCCTCCTATAAGCATGCGTCGCGCGTACTATAACCATGCGTCGCGTCTCTTACGATGGTGAAAAGCGCCCTCCGGAGTTCGCTTTTCGACCGTCGCGCGTCCCATAGTGATACGTCGCGCCTGCTATAAGGGTGCGCACGGCCCTCCGGAGGTCGTCTTGCCCCATTCTGAACCCATCCCAAGGGCCCCTTTTCTTCCTAGCAGTCCCCTTAATTAAGATTGTAGGAAAAGAATTGCGTCGCGCGTGCTATACATGTTGCCGAGGTATCGATGAAATAATCGGTTTCCTTAACAATTTCACCGCCACCAGTATTGAGCGCGCGACGTAAAACCATTATTGTATGCGCGACGTAAAACCACTATTAAACGCGCGACGTAATGCAAGTGATGCCAACTGAAATCAGGGATTTTGGGAAACACGTCGCGCGTACTATAACATTACCCTTTATTTTATTTTCCCCCAATCATTACATGGAAAGCAAAAATTCAATAAGAAAGTGAGATAATATTATTTGTAAATTTATAATTTTAGTCATTTTTTTAATATTCTTCAATAACATAAAAAAATCTAAATCCTCTCCTAATTGATGTAAAACCCGTTTTTTTTTTTTTAATATTATTTTGTAAATAAAATGCATGAAATTCGCAGACAGTGAAAGAAATCAACCTTGACCGAGCTAAAATAATCATATGCGCGAACTTTTGGTCACGTGGCTATTCATATGTTATGGAGTGAGCGAAATCATGCCGCAGATATTGGGATTGGCACCACATGTCGACCTTAAGTCTGCGAGAACGGCCGGCCCAGCAACTCGCTTTTAACACGCGGTTAGTGGTCGTTTGGCCCAGCACGCCGGCATCACTCGCCGATCACGTGTTCGCCTTTTGCGGCGGCGCTTCAACTCGCATTGTTGTCAATCGCCGCTCGCGAATCGGGCGGACACTTCCTCGGACGGTCGAGCAAGTGGTCGGACGTCCCGAGACGCCAACAGGTTAGTCTCTTTTCAATCACTTACTTTGCGCTGACCCACTAATTGCCAGCGATCAAGAAAACAGGCAAATATTGGCACTTCTTGTTCATGCTCAGGAGCAAATTTCGCTTTAAGGTTGAGCCCCCTTCAGTTTTTGTTAACACTCAGTCGGGCCCCTTTTTCACACATACGTAATGCAGATATTTCAAAAATACATTTTCTTTATATAAATAATAGCTTATAAATGAAATATGAAATATATTATGTATGATTTTTGAATAACAGTAATAAACTTTTGATTACTTTGATTTGTTTAGGATACTGATTTGTTCTGAAAGGGTCCGAGAAATTTTGAAATTGAATAATTTCTTATATTTTTGTGAGCCAATTTTTCAAATGATTTATAGTTTTATTGTAATTAAAATAAAATTTAATATTGTTTTGCCCTAAATATACCGTTTACATTATTTTTTTCAGTCGTTTTCAAGGATAGAATTGTTTAAAATTGTCGTTGATTAACAATTTGAAGCGGATTTGCACTTTATAAATGATTGTTGATCTCTCCAGAAAATTAACTCCAGGTAAAGATATTAATTTACAAATTAATATGAATTTTTTTCCAATACAACCTTGATTATAAACTGGAAAAATATACGTATTAATTTCACTTCATGTAACAACTTATGCAGCTTGCATAAATTACTTACTTAACGTGCAACATTGTGCAAAAGTGTTTGCGTTTAATCCACTGATGGTTGCCAGGAGCATTGACTCATTTTCTTCCAGCGAGATCACGTGACTCGGTCCTTAACGGATCAGCTTATTGTGGAGATTGATTGCGGGTTTTTATGGCGCAGACAGAGTATTAAGATTAATTGCGACATTCAAAGTCCACAACTTTGCTTTATTGTCAAATTTTATCAACTAAGCTTATAGTTCTAGTTAATATTTTATTATTTTTATTATAATGGATTTTTTTAAAAAAAGGAATAAATTTAACAATAAATTATATTTAAATCTAATATCTGCATAATATATACAATTATTAGTCTGAAACAATATAAACTTACAATTGGTTAATTTTAATACTATTTTTTTTATTGAAAACATAAATTTTTTTACAAAACTGATATGAAAGAGATTTTTATTAATAACTTCTTATTCAATTTCCTTCTTATAGTAAACAGAGATTAAATATTGAGTAATTTTATGAGGCTCCTTTTCAAGGTTTTGTATAAAATTGCAATTTGTCCTTTTGTCAAGCGTGTTGCATAACCGCTGACAAAACAATCATTGAAAGGATTCTCTTTTGCAATGAAACAAATCAACCGTTTTTGATAATATAATTTAATATTTCACACATTTCTTACTTACAATATAAAAACGAATTTCCTTTTTAAATTTTTATTACAATTAATATAATGATAAAAAAAAAACAAATTTCAAATCTTTACAAACATTTTTCTTTTTGAATTGATATTGAATAGAATTTCCTGCTTTTGTGAATGCCATTGGCATTGAACCTTCTTCATTTTCGCTTGCAGGTGCATGTGTGGCGAGTGCCAAGGCCACCGACTGCATCCGACCGCGGCGCTTCGATTTTTGCTTGTCGTCAGCTGACGTGGGAGCGCAGCAGCATCCCGCCGACGAAAATGAGCAGCGAGTCGTGAGGTCTCTCTCGGCAGGCCAACAACAAAACTCAGAACTCATCGCGAATTCAGCCCCCCATTCAGCCAGCCAACATAGGAGGCCTCGTTTGCAAAGTACAAGGTAAGACGATCATGCCGATGAACTTCACCTTGTCTTTATAAAATATAAGAAGTGGAAAATATATCTCAGCCGGCGGTTCATTGACTTTTGCAGAAATTTATTGTGTCGTCAATCAGGTGTACAATTCGACCTTGCCGCAGTAGAGGAGAGAAATTATAAATTAATTTATATTTCCTTCCGGCACTTTACTGAGAATAAATTGATGTAATTATAAATAACTGATCAATTTAATTTTATTGATTTAAAATTTTGCTATTTCTTGTTTCGATAAAAATTCAGAATTTTTATTTAATTTCTGTCTGCCCTTGGAATCATAAGTATAAAGAATTGAGATAACCTGATTTGATTAAATTATTTTCTCTTAATTAATCCATGGACGTTATGCACTCTCTCCATGCCATGTTTTGAATTAAATACACTCAAGGAAAGTCAATGAACCGCTTGTTTATCTCTATCGTTTTTCTTCTATTAATTAATGAAGTCAGTTGTTTCCTCACAGTATACAAACAAGGGGCGAATTATATTATTTGGTACATCTAAAAATCCTTGCTCTTTTAATTTTGCTCAATTGCTGGCTCCGACAAAGTCCTTTGGCTCTGAAACGCGTTTTGCAAACTTGCGGTGTGCATTTTGTTTTTGGATGGATGACAAACGTTTCAAATCCACATGAAGGTTCTCAATTGCAATTGAGAAGTTCCTTGATCCATTTGCATAATTTCGTGCAAAATAATAAACAAACAAAATTGAATTTTTTAAGATTTTAATCAAAAAAGATTTATTAAGTAATTATAAAAGAAAGTTTCTAAATTTGAAAACAGAATAAAATGTAAAATTTTTTTAAATATAATTAAATCATTATAAGCCTTATAAAGAAAATTAAATGAATTTTGTTTTCTAATTATAGTAAATTTGCATTAATTTGTGGCGCAAAAGTGCCGTCCCCACGTCCACCCGCTGTCCCGCGACGGTGACTTTGGTTCCATATTTAGATCGGCTGGCAGCCCATCCACTATTATATGTTCCCTCTCGAACAACAATAATAATATAAGCGTGCCAAGTAGGCTCTGCCAATTCCATGTTCCAAGTCAAGTCCGCTTTCGGCCCGATAAGCTGAGTGCGAATTCCAAAGTTTACTTTACTACGTTTTACTTGGACACAAGTACCGTTTTTTTGTTGCTTGACCCCATCAAAGAAAACGATGCAGTTTATTTAGAAAATATGTTGGACTCTTGCCTTTGAACTAAAGAAAGAAAGAAAGAAAGTGAATTGGGATTTGGCTGGCAATTCAAACAGCGCTGACCCCAAGCGGTTGAACTCACCAAGTGGACCACTTAATAGGCCTGCAAGGTCAGTGTGGAGAGGAGATCCCCATCCTCACGTGCTCTAATTTTGAACGCTTTGATTACATAAGTGATAAAAATATGGTAAAAAAATTATCAAATGCAGATAACTTTTTGTTTTTAATTTAAAAAGTAAACAACATTATTTATTGATGAGAACTAAATAAATAAGCGCATTTACTGGAAGGATTTTTCCGGATATGAAACTTCAAGAACCCGCCCTTATTGGTATTTTTTTTAGCCGAGAAAAACGTCCTTTCCTTTAATTAATTTTTATATTGGAATTCATTTTCAGGAAATCATTTTGTAATTTTCTTTTGAATAATAATTTATTTAGTTCTCAGAAAAGCACAAATTTTGTATACTAATCAAGATAAAATTATCAGCATAAAAAAAATAAGTAATAAAAATATTAATTTTTAAATTTTCACTTATTCACATTTGAAAATCAATACATAAATAATTTATTTGCATTAAAGTGACCTTGACCTTCAAAAGCAAAATCTTTTGTTCTTTTTCGCTGAAAGAAAAATTTGAATTAATCAGAGCAAATGGCTCTTCCTGAGGAAGGAAGGATAAATGGAAGCGGTTTTCTTTCTATTGAATGCGCTGGTCGATCCGCGGCCGGCAACGCGGTGAATGAGAGAGATGAATGGTGTCACGGTCGTCCCCTTGTGCTTGCTCAAATCTGCAGCACATTTACTTTTGCATCCTTTTCACCGATCGTTTTGTCCAAAATTATATCTCCGCTGCATATTTGGTCTGTCAATGAGGTCAAGTTGTGAAGAAATACAGGAAAAATTTAAACGGCAGAGTTTTTTCAATAAAAATAATAATGATTACAATCATAACTAGAAATAATTATAAATATTAAAATATGTTGCCATTTTTTTTCTTTCAAATAAAATGCATAAAAAAAGTAAGTAATTTGTTAACTGTTCTTTATTCCATTTTTGTTTTGCACTTTTTAAAGTAATCTTGGGCTCTGTTTGTTAGCGACATCTCATGGAGTTTGTCCCAATTTGGCAGCACGTGTGTGCAAGTTGTATAATTCTTTATTCTCGCCTGCAAGTTTGCAAACTGGCCGTCGTCGCCGCGAGTATATTAATAACTCTGCACGAAGAAGACCGGTTTGGAAATAATTATCGTGACCCTGCCAAACTTTAGCAAAAGCAGACTCGGTTTCGTTGGGAACAAAAACGACTTCCGAAGCGTCTGGAATTAAATAAGAACTAAATTGCGTCTCTCTCTGAGACAAAACAAATTTGTTTTGCAACACAAAAACCTTCTGGATCAGTCCAGGATGCGTTTCCTCCGAATCCACTTCCTTCAACAACTCGACCACAAACTTGAAAAAGTAATTAAATAATTAAATATTACCCAGAATGATAAATTAACTTGCTAGTTTAAGAGAGAAAAATTTAAATGAATTGAATCATGGAATCAATTTTAAATTTGAATAAAATTTTAATTTGAGAAAAAAAATGAAACGAATATAATCAAAGACAGTTTTTTGAACCCTGAATAATGGACGCTAATTATACTGAAGCTGGCAGAGCTTGTGCTTGGCCGCCAGCGCTGCGACAAGGTTACGGCCGTGATTATGTAAAAGCAAGAGGTGAAAAACGCCATCGACCCTCCCCCCGTATATAAAGGACAAGGGCACTCGACCTGACCCGACCAGTGCACCGCGGAACCTCGCCATTGTCGCACACGCGTTTCAATCGCTGCAGTTTTGTGATTTCCTGTGCGTTTCTGTTGAGGATTATCTTTTTTATTGAGAGAGCAGCATTGAAGACAAAAATTTAGGACCAGGTACTGTAAAAGTTCAGACAGAAATTAAGAGATTCAAAATTAATTTCACCCTTTTTGTAAATAAATTTTCAGCTAATAATTTTTTTGATTATTCTTATTACTTTTATTGGTTTCTCTTAAACTATTGAAAAATTGCTGAAACTAAGCGGGGGTTTTTATATTCAAGTCTCAGTCATTTTGAATCTTAAAATAGAAAAACAGGGTTTCATGTTTGCCCTTTAAGTTAACTGAAAAAGATATGAATTCCTTTCCTTTTAAATTAAAGATTGTTGAAAATTGAAAATAGTATTATTTTTGTATAATTCATTGCAAAATTGAACGAGAAGTTTAGCCTTTACAAATTGTTCTGAATCTCGAAAATTTCTCTCTTGATCTTTTGAAAAAAAAAAAATCAATTTCGGACGAACAAGGAATGAAAATGCTGCTGATGCTGCGTTTCCTTCTGGTTCTGACTTCGCACACTGGGCCGTGCCTGGGCCTGTTCTGCCTGCTCGTGGGCCGCTTCATCCAAGACTGATGGCCCAGCTGAGGGAGGCGCTCGCCCTCGCCGAGCAGCTGGCCGCGGGGGCCGTCGTCTCGCCCGCCTCCAAGCGCCGCTTCCAACGCCTCACGCACCAACCGGCCCCCGACCCGGCCGCCCCCACCTTCGTCCCCCCGAAACAACTCCTCCTTTACCTCGTCAGGTAATTCAATCGCATTTGGAAAAAAAATTCAAAAATGATGAATTATAAAAAATTGGAATGGTCAAGGCGGTTGTTAATTTAGGATGGCCTTTGAAGATTTTTAAAAATTCCGCGTCTCTCAATTAGGAAAGCCCTTCGAATTAAATGCATAAGGAACAGCAGCGAAAAACTAGATTTCCTTTCAGGGAAACTGATGTAAATATTTGTGAACCGATTGTATATAGTTTATTTCCTGCGCAGAAACAATGACCGGCTTATCTCACACTGAAATTTTATTGACAGGCTTTAAAAAATAAAAAAAATCAAGCGTAAAAACCGGCTTTAAAAATAACAACTCACTATGCTATCTTACAATGACGCGCGCCAGTAAACGAGCAAAACGTGATTCAAATTTTTAATGCGAAATGACGGAAGAGCAATTGTTTTGGTTTTTGAGGTTAAAAAATAAGGAACAAAATAAGATATGCGTTCGCCACTGTCTCATGCTGTGAAAAGCCCTTGGGAAAAATTTAAAATAAAGAGGAAACAACTGACAAAACTGCTGATATATTTTCCATCGCAAAATGTTCTTTCTTTCATTAGTTATTTTCATATTCAAATGGAAAAAAGTTTTTTCAATTTCTGCATGACTTCCTATTAATATTTGGTACAATTTTCCTTCCAATGTTAAAAAAAAAATCAATATCTAAACAAAATAAATTGTAAATTAAAATTTAATAGTTAATCAAATTTTTTTTCTAATTTTTCATATTATCAATTTTTCTTCCATTAATTTCTTCTCCTGCAAATGTTGGTTTTGTTAATGAAATTTCAGTGTGGTGGTGTGTTGAAGGGACGAAAGTAATGTTGACGGGGGCGTACACGCGCCTGGTGCTCAGGGCGCTGGTGCTCCAGATGCGGTCGCGACCCCTCAACAGGTAAGCAAACTCTTATCGGCCGCTCCGATCGCCTTCCCATTCGAACGCAAATCGCCAAACCCCAATTATGCGCCGCGGCTTTTGTCCTTTTGTAAAAATTGGCTGAAAAGAGCGGAGACGCGCGCGCGCGCCGAACAAAACACAGACTTTTGCGCAGCTCGGCTGCTTTTAAAAGCGGCCTGGACACCGGCGGGGCGCACCTGTTTGTCGTTTGCGCTCAAAAGGTATACTCTGTGTTTTTCGCGCGGACCGCCATGGAGATCCAGATCCGCAAACTTCACAAGGAAATCATTCTCTCCAGGTAAAGAAATTCTGCTCTTTTTTCAATTTCAATTATATTCATGATTGGCTTCCGACACCAAACAGAAGAAACATTTTGCTTATTCTCACTTTTTTATTGAAAAACTTCACGCCTAAAACATTTATTATAGTTTGCAGATATCATTTCAAAAGAAAATTACAATATTTGCGAGAAATTGATATAATATTTTAAAAACTATTGCTTCGTCGGAAATTTTCTTAAATAATTTTGCCTTCTAAAATTTATTAAAACTTCAGCAAACCAAGTTCATATCACTCTAAATAAAGTAAATAAAAGTGCAAAAATTAAATTGATTTGATTTCTTGTATATTATCTTCAATTAATTTTTATATTGCTTTTTGTAAAAATAATTTATTTTGTATTTTGGTCTATTTTCAATCTCTATATCGGAAAAAACGCCTAACAAGTGCACATTTGATTTGATTTCCTGGTTTTGTATATAATGATTTCCTTCCTTTAGGATGCTCAAAATTTATAACACAACTTTCAATACATTTCAAAAGCGTTTTTTTTTTATTATGGATTTTAATTTAATTTTGTTGGTTTCCTCGTTTCAAACCAGACGTTGAAATTGAACTTGTACTTATTTTGTCAAATTGGTACAATTTTTTCCTTTTGATCTGATGTCAGCCACTATGGTAACAAGGTGAAGTAACACCCTAAGCTCAGCGAATCGGGGCTGCGACGCACTACACCATTTGGGGTCACACAAGAGCATTCCTTTTTATTATATTACAGCATCTCTCGGTCGGTCGGTCGCCGCATAATCCGGTGCATTATTTATAGAAGATTCTCCACGGGAGCTTAATTTTATCTCACTGGAACATCTAAAGAAAAAATTTCTGGAAGGCTCTCGAAATGCAATAACAAAAAAAGGATCAAAACAAAAATAATTTTATACATTTTTTAATTGATATAAAGTAATGATATCTGCGCTGAGGTATTTATAAATTCCGTCAGAAATTGCAGCATGCCGAAGTTGCATAGAGGAAATATCTTTCTGTTTGTGCAATGCCGAGAGTGTAACGCGAAGCCGAACAAAAGCAGCCGAAGATGCACGCAGCGTGACAAGACCAAAGGCACAATCTCGCTCGAATATACATACACGTGTGTGTTTGTTAAGAGCGACTTTGACTTTGAGGTCTGAATGAGATTTTATTATATTATTATGCTGCTGGAAGGCTACCTCAGGCGCGAGTTCTAATCAGTTAATCCTTCGTCGGCGGCGAAATGCGTTGATATGTTAAAGGGAAGGTAGAGGTCTGCAAGTATAATATAATTGTTGTGCAAATTGCAAATAATTTAAAAAGACCAGACGTGAAGGCCTTCTTGATGGTTTTTACAAATAATGTAGTAATTGACTGAACAAGAAGTGTAATATGCCTGAAATTCATAATGCTTCAAATTTCAATTAAACTTATTAAACATAAATTTTAGTTTTAATCAAAATATTAAACTACTCTGAACACTTTTAAAATGCCAAAGTTAGAAAACTGCTTTAAAAGTTTAATTTCGCAATTTGTGGATTTTCATAATTTATTTTAAATTTAATTAATGAAACAAAATTTTCAAGAATAATTTTTTTAGCAAACTAATTTGCATATTTCCTTGTTGAAGTTTGAGTGTGTCAAATTAGCACACCTGCAGACCTCTTTGTGGGTGGGATGACGCAACGACTTTTCTCTCTCGCGATCAGCTGCTGGCTGGCTCTTCTCGGCTGGCGAATTTCTCAAATTGTGTTTGCGTGTTTTCGCAGGATGGGCAGCTTCACGTCGGCGCCCAAGATCCTGAACCAAGACCTGCAGGACAACGAGGTGCACTTCCCTGAAAGGTTGTCGCGCGACCAGCTGCTGGAGAGGTGCCGTCGCGAGCAGCGACACCTGCCCGTCAAAAGGGCCTTCCGGCCGTGCAATAACGCCTTGACGGCGGCCAACGGCCACCAGGACGGCGTCCGCGTCCTCCGCTGGAACGTGGTGAGCCGGCGCTGCGGCGACGCCACCAACAGCCCCCACCACCTCCGCGTTCTCCAGTGGAACATCCTTTCTCAGGGTAACATATTAATTCTTCAAATTATTGAACTGCGCAATTTAATTTTACCAAAATTTTTGCTAAAATTATTAAAAATAAAAAATGCTAAGATATTTTATTTCTTTGCTAGTGATTTTGTTTTCTTTTTAAATTACACTTTAGGGTTGATTTCTGTAAACGCAACCTGCTTTTCACGGGTGTAGATAAAGTTGCCTACCTTTGTAAATTCAGGCATTTCCCTTATTTTCTTATATCAGATTAATTTTGATTTATTTTCTGATGAATCTAATCTTAAATTTTCTTTCGCAAATTTTAAGCTCTTGGCGAAATGAATGACAACTTCGCCTGTTGTCCTGACGAGGCTCTCCAGTGGCCAGCCAGGAGGTACCAGATTGTGGAAGAGATCATAGAATACTGCCCTGACATCATCTGTCTTCAGGTTTGTCATTAAAAAGATATTACGTTTGAAAATTTTTAGAATCTGACTGAAATTAATTAATTTCAATGTAATTGTTTTTGCAGGAAGTTGACCACTTTAAATTCCTGAGTGGTGCTCTGGCGTCGCAGGGCTACTCGGGCATGTTCTTCCCGAAACCAGACTCGCCCTGCCTCTACATTCAGGGCAACAACGGCCCTGACGGATGTGCCATTTTCTTCCGAACTGACAAATTTGATCTTCTCAACAATGACAGTCGCGTTCTAGAAGTCTGGAGCGTCCAAAGCAATCAGGTGAATACTTCAATTTTGCAAAAATTTTGATTTATGTAGGCTTCATCGAAAAAAAAATAAGATTTAAAAATATACAAGGAAAATAATTAAATTGTTTAAGATATTTTTTCGCAAAAAAAAATCTCCAAAGATACAGAGCAATAGAATCAAACTTGTTTGTATGTAAAAAATAAATATTATTATTAAAAATGCGTCAAAGTAAAAGGTAAAAATATTCAAGTTTTGAAACTTTCCGTTTTATAAGGTGAAGAAAAGCTTTTGATTTGCAAAATGTCAAAGAATACAAAAATATGACCTCGTCTGTCTTTGATTTTGTCATCAACATAATGTATAAAACATAAAAAATTATAATTTTTTTTAAATGCATTTAAATTTTTTTTTAATTTTTTGTGTTTTTGTTTTTGAGGTTGCTCTGCTGATAAACCTGCGCATCAAAGAGACAGGGCGCGAGGTGTGCGTGGCGACGACGCACCTGAAGGCGCGCAACGGTGCCCTCCTGTCCACCCTGAGGGAGGAGCAGGGCAAGGACCTGCTGCGCTTCCTGGAGGAGCGGCGCGACGGCCGGCCGCTTGTCCTGTGCGGCGACTTCAACGCAGAACCCACCGAACCCGTCTACCGCAGCATCACGGCCCACCCCTCCGAATTGGGCAGCGCCTACGCCGAAGCGCACCACGGCCGCGAACCTCCCTACACAACCTGGAAGGTCAGTCTAAATCATTTGGTACTTTTAACCCTGGAAAATAAAATACGAGCAGATACCTCATTTTTCAACCTTTTTTTGCAAATATAACTTTTTGCCTTGGGCCCAGACAAAAATGTTAAATACAAAAAATGTGAAAAATTAAATTAGATACAAGTTTTGTATTAAACAATTTTTTCTAAAATGATTTCCAAAAGAGCTACAAAAATAATGAAAAAAATGTCAAAACTTTTACCTTTGTTAAAAAATCAAATTTTTTGGCACTAAATATTAACTTATTTAAGTAAACTTTGTGAGGTTTGTAAAGCTAATTCTATTTCCTATCATTTGGCGCTGGTCTCACGTTTTTGCAAAAATAGAATGCTTTAAAAAATAAACAAAATTCACCGCCTTGCAAAGATCTGCAATATCTTATTATTTTCCAAGTTTCAATTTCTTTTGTGATTTTGCTTCAGGTGAGAGAGGGCGAGGGCGAAGTGTGCCACACAATAGACTACGTGTTCTTCTCGCAAAGAGAATTCGCAGTGGACGCCGTCCTGGACTTCCCCACCGGAGAGGAAATCGGCCTCGGCAGGATACCCTCGTTCATCTACCCCTCAGATCACTTCTCGTTAGTGTGCGACCTCAGTTTTCGCGACCAGAGAGGCTTGTAGTGAGACAAATATGAGTGCATATGTGATTTGATTTTCCCCTTTGAAAGTTGTAAAAATGCTGTTTCAAAATTGTGTGTATAAGTCAGATTAAGAGGTATTTTTATATGAAGATATGTGATCTCTCCTTATTGTAAATTTTCGTCTTTTATTATTATTGTAACGAACTGCATCAGTTGAGTTGGTAATTTTATTATTCTGACTTATTTATTTCTGCTGTTGCCATATTTTCCGACCTAAAGAGTTTATGTATGAATAACAAGAGTGTAAATGTTGAGGTCTTCCAAAGTACACCATGAGACCGATTTAAATATAATTATGCTAACTTTTTTCCTGAACTAAAAGACGCGAAATGAAAAGTGTGATTCAATTAATACCAAATAAGCAATCATAACAAAATATTTTTCCTTGCATAAAGAGAGCAATAATGGTAAAAATGACTTGCGAACGGATAGAGAAGGTTTTTGATAAATAATTATTTGGCCATTTTGTTAAATATTATGTAATAAATCGAATTCCAAAATGTATCAAAAATTTGTTGTTATTTAGGAGTGCCTTCGTCCGCCAGACTTTTTGCTGGATCCCCTCCTATAAAATGAAGGAAACTTCAGTTTGATCATTTTTTCCAAAATAGTTTTGCATTCTTACCAGACGAAGAACAAAGCTGCTCCGGCAACAAATGCAGCAGCCCCAGCGCCAACTAAGCCCCAGCGGACACCGTCCACAATGATGAGGTTGTTAATCAGGGCCTCCCTCAGCATGTTTGTGTTTTCCTCATTCAGGGTGAGCGCCTCGTTGACCCACAGAAGTGGAACGACGGCCACAGGAAGGTCTTTGGTGATGCCGAAGCGTCTCACCGGTTTGATCATCATGTTGAACTGGACCCTGCGGCCAGCGCTCAACGGCGCTCCAGAGTTCTAATTCAATTTTTTTTTTAAACCAAATATAATCAAGAAATTCATTTATTCAATTTTACCATTTCCATGTCCAGGTAGATTTGGTGGTCCTCTTTGTTGGGCCTCATGCCTTCGACCAATTTTTCATAATCAGGTGCCTGATAGAAATGAGGCAGAGTCAAAATGACAGGACCGTCTAAAAGAAAATGTATGAAAAATAATTTTTTTTTCAAATTTAATTCTTTCCCCATATTTGAAATTAATTTAATTTAGGGAAAGTTGAAAAAAGGGAATACTAAATTCATTTTTTAAATGAGTATGTGATATGCTTTGCTTCAAATAATCTTTTTTTATAGTACTAAAGCAAGTGGTGAGATCCATGGCTCCCCTGTGCAAACAGGCGCCGTTGGGAGGGCAGAAGCAGTAATTGTCAGGCTGGTCTGTCACGTTTCCGAGCTGGTCTTCGTCCACGACATAACGGTAGCCGTAAATGCCCTCATGATCTATGTCCTTGTCGTAGCTCAGATAAATGCTCCTAAAAATTTTATATTTTATTTTTTTGAATATGTGCCATACAAATTTGCTTCCATATTTTGAAGATATAAAATTGTTAAATAATGCTTGATATATGAGAAAAATTTTTACACCTGCACAAGTCTGTGGTGAAGACGTAGACCTTTGTGTCTCTGGTTTTGAAGGGCGGGAAAATTGTTGCGTCGCTGCCTCTGATCACGTTGCACTCAGGACCGGACCAATATGGGAGAACGGCAGAGTTTTCCCACTCGAGGATTTCTCCTATTTTCAGAATGTCACTCTTGCCCGTCGACACCTTAAAGTGGCCGTCGGTTTTTCCATTTTTCTATTTTTTTTATTAACAATATTTTATTTAATAACTTCAGTTTAAAAGAAAGCATTACGTGGTTGAAGAAAGAGTAAAAGTAGTTTCCGGATTCAGGGTCGTATCGAAGGGCCGGTGGCAGTTCTTGCGTGGACAGACCGAAGCACACCGCTGCCCACGAGAGATCTGAGCTACTGTCGTCGCATCTGACCAGGACGCCGTCGAACAAAAGGTCTCTGACCTTGACCGTGGTGAACACAGTCTCCGGATTGTCAAATAGGAATTGATAACCGGCCGCTAATCCGATGCTGATGCCGGCCGCGTCGTCCGCTTCAGGGGTCAACATCATGCCCTAATACAAAAACAGATTTTAAATTTTTGTAAACAAAGAAGTTTTACGCTTGATTGAGGGAAAAAAATTTAACTGCAAAATTCCCAATATGAGATCAACGCAAATTAATTGATTTTGAGAAACCTGTTATTTTACTTTTTCGACTTTTTCAACTTGATTTGGGGGTGATTTGTTGAAATTTTGTGTAAATGTCAAATTTAATCGTGCCGATTTCGAGAGAATAAAACAATTTTAGAAAATTCGATAAAAATTTTCAATTCATTTTGTCTCTTTTCTCTTTATATGCGTAATGGGAGTTGAAATTTACTTCCAGGTAGAAAATTGATAAAATAAATTGGGCCGTTTTTTAGCAGAAGCCCCTCCTTGATAAAAACAGTTGCAGAATATATACCATGAGCGCGGCGTTCAGCACGGTTACTTCTTGATTCTCCGAAAGGGCTCCGGAGAGTTCAGGACTGAATGCAAAGAAGGTCCTTTGCTCAAACTCCACCGTCTCGCCATCTTCGCTGAACACAACGTTCTCCTTTTCCTTGGTCTCTCTTAAAAATTACCGAAAATTTTATATTAATTTTTATTTACTTAAAAAAATAATAATAATTTACAGATAGACAAACGGCCCAGTTTCTTTCATTTTTGGTTTGGCTCCTGCGTGGACTTCATCAGGGTTTTCCACTTCCATGATGTAAACCTTAAATTCCATCGGCTGAGGCAGTTTTACCCAGTTTTCGTAAGATGCACTACCCATCGAGAGGATCAAGTTCTACAGAAAAAAATGCTTTGTAAATAATTGCGCAACAATTTAAGGTATTTAATTACGCTCGCAGACATTTAGCTTAAATTGATTAAATTTTCATTATAAAACCAATTGGTTAAATAATCTTTCTCCTCACATGAGATAAGGAGATTAGCGTCGAATTATTTTCAATGCAACAAAAAGATCAAAAGATACACTAAAATGGTACACGCAGCGCTTTGTTAAATCTTTGAATTCTAATCTCTTCTGCTTACTTTGACACTTACTATCGCCAAGCAAAACCTTCAGGATTTATGTAAGGTGAGTTATATAAACCAACTAATAAATGTATTGAAAACTAGCTCAGAAAAATAATTTGATTACTCTATTAAACTATTTTCAGTTTTGTCCTTCTAATTAATTTGTATAAGGCGAATTATACAATAAATAGAAAAATTTAAAACAGAACAAATACAAAAATAATGCAAATTTGGCATTAAAAGGAAATGAGATTTTAATGAAGTAATTTTTTGAAGTGCTCACTTATATTTATTTACCTTAGTGATTTCACTCTCGATGACCCCTGGAAAGAGACCCCATCCGAGTCCTGCTCCCAGAGCCACCAGGACAATGCCGATGCCCGACACGGAGCCTGCGATCACCAGCTTGGTGCACATATTGGCGGTGCGTAGGTGACTGTGTCCATCTCTTTAAACAAAAGCTGACCACCTTGTGCTTCATTATCTTATCTTGAGAAAGCATAATCACATCAGCCATTCATCATGCGATCCGACTATATCAGCGAGAGAGGTTCGTCTCTTAAGTATACACCTCAAGGATTAATTCAAATTAAAATGCTTTTCGTTGGACGCATAATATATATTAATTTCTTTTAATGGAGCTGCACAATCAGTTCACATTTATTTTTATTTCGTTTTTTCTTTTTTGGTAAATTCATCGTAATTCGTAGATTGACTTCACAATTAATACACACTGCCATTCCCACACATTGAGAGTGTAAGCGGTTTTTTCCTTCTTAATTTTCTTAGTTCTGAAACACGTCTGATGCTTTTTCCAACCGGTGTCCACGCACGCACGCACACACAACTTATCACATTCAGTGGAGAGTCCACGCACTCACTCGAGCACGCACTCACTACTTGCACTTTCAAATTTGAGATTTCCGCGCAATTAAATAAATTAATACAAGTTAAGCCGTTTTCTCAGAGAGAACCGAATCGATAATTTAAGTTTCCTTAACAAGCGTAAAAGGCAAAATATTTCAACTGGAAAAGGATATGGTATATAAAATATTTTGATAAACTAAGAAAACTGCCAAACAGAAATAAAAATTTAACAATTTTCCTTGATAAGAAGTGCTGACAAAACAAGATTGGAAAGTGGTCCCTGCTTGCCAAGATAATACGTATTTGGGATCCAGATGGTAACAAAATTTTGGAGTAAACAGCAGCTCAGATTTAATGCGATTCGTCCAGGAGACGATTGTTTTCTAAGTTCCTATCAGTGTAGACAGCTATTATTAAAATATAATATGCAGTTAAAAATTATGACGCGGTGTTTGTCGTTCAGAAAACTTGGAAGAAGAGTGCCGGACATAAAAAATTGTCTCATTGCACATTGAACCATCTCTTCTAGTTGAACAGCACTGAGTTGGGATCTTCATTGTCCATTTGCTTGATGTGTCTGAGCACGTCTTTCTTTGTTATGACCCCGAGTAAGCGACTGAAATCGATTTAAATTATAATCTGGAGAAAAAAATTAAATCTCTACTGACCCATTGTGAGTGACGAGTGTTTGCCTCAGTCCTAGTTTGCGGAACATATCGACGACAGTCTCCATCGGGGTCTGGTCAGTCATAGTTATCGGAGCCAAGTCGAGTATCTTCTTGAGGACCAGCGGCGCTGGGCGTCTCGAGCCCATCGAAGATTCTCCGCCGTCTTCAGTGTTGTTTTGAGTCACAAACAGCACCATGGACTGGCCCGTGATGCCCTCGTTTAATTTCTTAGAATTTGCTGCAACATGGAAACAATCAATCTCTGAACTAGACATTTTGTTGAATTTACCTATGGCAAGGTTGAGGTCTCGTCGCAGGACAAACCCTACGAGATATTGACTCTCTCTGCTCACCACCACAGGGAAACCGTTGTGTTCAGTTTCTTTGAGCAAAGCTGTTACATCATCCACGGTCATTGAATCTTGAGTGATGACACTCAAAGGCTCATTCCGCCTACTGTAACAAAAATAGGTCAAAATTAACTATTGGAAATGTGGAAATTTGATTGTAAAAAAAATATACCTCTCAGAATTATAACCAAAACTGCAATTTTTATATTTCAATAAGTAAATTAACGAAATATCTTTACAAATTTAAGACTCATTGCGGAATTCAGATTAAATTTAAGGAAAGAAATGAGAATGAGAAATACTCATTTTAAATAGGGAAAACTATTTTGAGGTTTTGGCACCAAATAAATTTAGCTAAATTTTTAGGTTTCATTTATATGAGCCATAATGGAACTTTGTTTTCGATAAATGCGTTTTCTCATTTTATTGCTTTTATTTTATATTTTTTTGAAAAAAATACTTACTTTGGCTGCATTACGTCAGCAGCAAGGGAAGTGTGGGCAAATTCTTCTTTGCTGTCGAGGAATGGATATCCATTTAGATGGATGTGGGCGTCGTAGATGCCTTGTCGGCCGAGAGCATCCCCGACCCACTTGCTGGCCATGGCGGCTGCCATCAGTGGCACAATGTATCTGACCCCTCCAGTCAGCTCGAACATTATAACCACCAGAGACACTGATTTAAAAAAAAAATATTTTAGTTGTACATATTTTATTGATTTAGATTTGTACCTGTCATTCTCGTTACTCCTCCTAAAACAGCAGCAGCACCGACCATTGCGTAGAGACCTGGCGTTATGCAGTTGTCTCCAGTGGAGCACTCGCCGCTGAATACCCATATGTGTGGGTAATTGTATGCCAGCTGCTCCATCGCAATACCGACGAACCTGGAAATAAAAAATTTGAAGTTCAGTTTTTTATCTTTATCATTAATTTTGGTATTTCAATAGAAAGTAATTTTATTGGTTCTGTATTTCAGGAATAAGAAGGAGAAATTGACTCGATACATCCTATGATAAGGTGATTTTTTGACAAGTACCTTTTTACCGCAAAATGGCAGGGAAAAAACTTGGGAAATAAGAAATAAGAGTGAAAAATTACCATCAACATGAATATTTACTGGGTTATTTCTACTTTAATAATTAAGTATTAAAAATTTAAGTAACTTTTTATGCAAATTTCCAATTTTCCAAATTATAATGATTGTATACCTTCCAACGATTGCACCAAGACAGAGGGATGGAATGAACAGTCCGCAGGGCACCTTGATGCCAAAAGTGAAAACGGTGCCGACCAGCTTGAAGATGAGAGCCAAGCTGAGCAGCCAGAGGGCGTTGTAAACCCCCGGTCCTGCCGCCGCCGTCTCGATGGCCGAGTTGACGTCTGTGAAGTTGCGATTGTAGTCGCACAGGGGGTCCGAGTTGGAAACGCCGCACTGGCTGAACAGCAGGTAGATGAGCTGACTGGTGCTCATGCGGGTGTACGGATTGGGGTAGGCGATGACGGCGGTCACCAGGGTCACGATCAGCACCTCAGTGACAGGGTACTGCCCCAGACGGGAGACTTTGCGGTACCGGCACCACCACAGGTTGGCCTTGATGAACATTGTGGCAATGACGCCGCCAATGACACCGAGCCCTGTGAAAAAAATGTTGTGTAAAATTAAGTGAGACGAACCAGAGGATTTATACCAATGAAGGGAACTAGTTCGAAGAAAATCCAGTCTTTGCTGTACTCAACATAGAAAAGTACAGAGTGGGCGTTGCCGAAGGGGTTGATGGAGCGCAGGATGAATGCGGCCACCAGAGCGCAGAAGAAAGAGCGCCAAAGGGTTTTCAGTGGGAAGTAGTAGCTCACCTGAAGTCAAAATTTGAGATCAATTTACTTCGCCTCGGCGAGCCGAGGCCCGCTCTTGTCTTACTATACCTCTTCTAAGCTGAAAAGGACGCCACCGATTGGCGCTCCAAAAGCCACTGATACTCCTGCAGCTGCTGCCGCAGACAAAATCTCTCTCTTTTTAGCTTCGTTTCTCCCGTACTTGGGAAAGAGATAGGAGAGAATGTTGCCTATGCAGCAGGCGATGTGGACCATGGGGCCTTCCTTGCCCAGGTTGAGTCCCGCAGAGACCGAGAGCATGATGCCGACTGACTTGATTATCAAAGTCCACTTGCCGAGGTAGCCCCTGATGATGAATCCACTCAGGATCGTTTTGATCTAAAGTGGAAAAAGTTTATTTTACTCTTGAGAGTGGAAATCAAAGCTTTTACCTCAGGAATACCGGAGCCACAGGCGTAAGGTGCGAACATCCTCACAAGACATGCTGCCAGGGCTGCAAAGAGGAGGGCCCACAGGATGTACAGAAGGTAGGACAAAACGTAAGGCCCGGTGCCTTCTCTTGAGAGGCCGAACATTTCAGGCCATGTCAGCCACTGGAAGAAAAAATCATAATATACTGAAGAAATTTTCCATTTATCTAAGATCAATGTAAATTTTGAGGTCAATTTACCAATGCATTTTTTTCACTTTGATAGGCAAAATTGAATTAATCTAAGTCTGGTAGATTTTAGAAAATATTCATAAAAAAGCAGCAAAAATTTGAGCTCCTCCATTTCATTCAATATTTCTAATAAATTCATATTTCTTTTTACAAAATGTGCACTTTAAGAAGCAAAGTATAATTCAAATTTGTTCGTACCTGGCTGCAGGAGCCGAGTTCAAAGTCGGTTTCATTGGAGGACCAGCAACACTGCTCCTGGTTGAGCCAAAAGGCCTGCGGACAGATGCCGTACTTGAGGTCAGTCATCCAGCTGGCGCCGATGTCAATGACCCCAGCCAACGCGCCGGTGAACAGACCAACCAGCAGGACGCACACCCATCCTGACCAGGCGTCGTGGGCGCCGCGGATCAGGTCAAAGATCGAGTCCTGCTTCTTTTTGACGATGTAACGGTGACGCATCCGGTCCCTGGCAATGTCTCGTTGCCAATCGATCGTGTGGAAATCCTCATACTGACCAATGCCAGGAATGTCATCGCTCTCTGTTGTCCCTAAAAAAGAAAGTTCAATTAGATATTGATTTAATGTAAAAAAATTAGCATTTAGAGATGGATTTTGTAAAACGTTTTTTTTTATAATGAAAAAAAAAGACAAAAAATAATTGAAATTTGAATTTGGTAATAAAAAAATAAAATAAAATAGTCAAAATTAATTTTTATAGTCAACGTGAAAAAGGATTTCGGTCGAAAAATCTACATGATTTTTAAAGATTAATTAATTTTAAGGACTCCGTAATCACGTTTTTTGACAATATTGGTGGCTGAAATTGCCAATGGTTTATTTTTTATTTTTAATACTTGCCGAAAAGACTTGATTTTGTTTCATCTTTTATCCCAATAAATTAAAATTTCAAAAGTTGATGGAATTTTCATTTTAACTTCTGGAACAATTTTTGTGTGAATCTTACCGTGAGAAGCCGTGGCTAATTCCTCCTCGAGCATGGCTCTTTCGGACACGGTGCCTGTTGTGGTGATATCGATCATGTCATCATCACTGCTCAGGGAGTTGAGGCGGTCTAGGTGTCCGTTGTGGGACACCTGCAAGTACAACGCAGACGGTGAGTAAAACCAAGGTGCCGTTTCGAATGCAATGATTCAGGGCAAAATTTACCAGCAGCCGGTAGGAGGTCCTACTCATCGCAACCCATTACAAAAATTAAATTATATAATAAAAAAATAAAAAAGGAAAAAAATTATTGAAGAGAAGGAAATGCGCGGCTCAAGAAAATGTTGGTAATTCTGGTGAAGACTGATTCTTTTCTTTATCTTATCAGCTTGTTAGAAGAAAAAACCTGACTTTGCGCTCGCACGGTGTGTGCTATCTCAACAAAAACAAAAACTAGAACGTAGAGAATTACGTAAAAGAGCAATTAAAATAACCACAACACTCTGCGTCCTCTTAATTTGGCCAAATTGGATAAAAAAAATCCAATTTTTTTTAATTAAGAAAAAGGATCTGATGAATAGAATCTTTTGAATGCGGATGTTTAGCGTTATCAATAGTAACAAAAAAAATTAATAAGAAAATTCCGAAAACTGCAGCCAAAACTATTGGTGATGCAATTTGGCTTTCTTCATTTTTTGCAATTTTGAGGCGCAAAAGGCGGAATTTTCCGTTGACAAAGTTAACCAAGCGTCGAAGGAAAGAAAAAGGGTGGGCCCGGGAGGACCCGACCGGCGGACAGGTCGATGTGGGTCACCCGTGAGAGGGGCAAAAGAGGGTTGCGACCTTGCGGTGGTACACGGCGGAGGCGATTTTGGGGCCAGCGGCGCTCTGGGACGGACGAGGGCCCTTTCAGCTCGCACTCGGGCCCGATCCTGGGTCTGCACGTGCCGGGGGCGGTCGCGGCCCTCGCTCTCAGGGGTCTCGTTTGGGTGCAAATGGGCAGCGATGGCTCAAAACGTCACCATCACATGACACACGCAAAACACACACCTATACAAGTGGCGCCAAAGCCTTGCAAAGTTTGAAACTTTCAAACCTGCGCACAACCGGATGCGCCGTTTATTTAGTCTAAAAAAATTACCGATTTGGAAAATGAATTTTTTTAAATATATTTGAAAAGCTTACAACTTTTAACGGCATTGAATTATTTTCTCCCTTCAAAGTATAAGAAAATTAAAAAAAAAAAAATAGGTGAAAAAGTGCCTTTCAATTAAAACATTAAAAACTTTTGCAAAATTGAATAATTTGCTTAATAATATTAATTAATTGATTAATTAATCTATAAAAGATGGTTTTATGATTTATAAATAATAATTATATTATTATTGTAATTTACAATCTGTGATGCGCAAAATTGTTTCGCAGGTGAGTCAATTCAATTTTTTGCACATTTTTATTCTAACAGTGTCCAAGAACATGAAACTTCTGCTCTATTAGAAGTAATGCTCATCGCTCATCTTTTATATATGTATTCAAGAACAAAATCGATGCGACTATTGTACGGACTGCTTGCGACAAAAATTTCTTTGCTTGATTGTTTTTATTGATATTTATTCGCCTGTATTTGCAACGACCTACATTGATTATTTATAATTTATACATCAATTAATTTACTTATTAATTTAGCCATAATGAATAATAAAAATAACAAATTTTTACAAAATTAATAGGAATAAAAAATTTCATAAAATTGTCCCCTTCAAGAATTATAAAAACTAAAATCTTTTCATTTGTTCAGACGAATTTACTCAAAAACAGACCAGATTCAAATAAATTAAAAAAAAATATATATTGTAATCCCAAATTTTTTTTTTTTTAATTTCTTTCTTTCACAAATAACAAGTAGAAAAACCAAGCGAAAGAAGCAGCAAAGAAAGAAGACCTGTAAATTTTTTATCTCTAAACTGCAAGCTAAATTTCTTGGAAGTCTGCGTATGCTTTTCTCCATATATTTTTGTATTCAAATTTTAAGTCAAAAATTTTAATTCTTTTAATTTGAAAAAAAATTCAGATCATGTAACTTCAGTTGATTATTTTAGCTCAAAAACATTGATGAAACTTTCAGTAAAGAAAATTTTTAACTAATTAATAACTGTGTTTTTATTACTATTTTTTTCTTACTAAATGTTCTATAAAAAACGTATTTAAATTTTTTGATTATAAAACCCATAAAACCAAATAAACCTTCATAAAATGACAATTATTATATTCTAAAGCTTGCAAATTTGTACGGCCGGTAAATATAATTGTAAATCATTTTGAAGGGAGAAGCGCAAACTCTGCTGACGAGACACGCAATAATTATCTTTGGCGTCTCTCGATAAAAACACGTGCGATCACGTGAATCATCCAACAACAATAATCCTCTCATTAAGCTTACCGGTGCCTTGTTGTTGGCGAGGGCCTGGTAGGAGGGGTTGGTGTACTGGGGCACCCCGTCGCCCCGCAACGGGTCCCTCTCCATCTCCTCCGTGGCCAGCCGTGAGTCTGCAAATCCCAAATTTAAAATAAAAAAATAAACTTAGCTCCAGTTTTGATGAGCAACAATGACACTTATAACTATTCATGCGAGGAGAAGAATAAGCGCAACAATTGGAGCAAAAAATCCATCAAGTGAAATAAATTTTCTTCTCCGTATTGATTTCAACTAGTATTGATTAATAAATAATGAAGGGAATAAAATATTAAAATGAAAAAAAAGAAACACAATAATTGTAATAATGAGTTAAATTATAAGTTGGACTAAAAATAAGCTGGGAAAGTAAAAGTACCATAGAAAAAACAAAAATTTAATTCCATCTCATGCAGAATTTTATCTAACTCAAGCTTAAAACAAAATTAACTCTAATTATTTAATCTTATTGTTAAAGCCAAGTTTTGGGTTATTTGTTGTACAAACACGCAGCATAATCTCATGCACTTACATTGGTACTGATATTCTCCAGCACCTGAGTTGACATCTGCGAAATTTTAATTTTGAAAATCAATTATTTAAAAGTCCAGAAATCTGAAACTCTTAGGAAAAAAAATCATGCAAACCACGTTCGGTTTTCAAATTCAAATAAAACCTTAAAATCCATGCAGAATTCCAACTAAATTAAAAAAGTAAAATTTAAATTTGGCAGTTCCAAGTCAGCAGGAAAAAGCACCAAGTCGGAAGCACTCTCTGTGTTTTGTTTAAACTTGGTTTTCCACAGAGATAAGATAAAAAAAGTGTATAAAATTTGTTCATGTCAAACACAAGAGAGTTGGCACTTTTTGAACTGAAATTTCAAATTCTCAAAATAACAATTCAATTCATGGAGCAAAACATGCAGAGTTGAAATTGTCACAGGCCGCTTGCTTACCCGCCCACCATTTGTCACCACCGTCAGTCATTTTTAGCCCGCATGCGAAACTCTGCTAAATTGTGTTGACGAAAGAAATTTTCAACTTTTTGCGCACCAAAAAACACCCCGCCTAATCACTCGCACCCTCACCGTTGTTGATCAGTTTGAAGACGTTCATCTTGCGGCCCCGATCATCCCTGCGTGGTGCTCGAAGAACCTCCTGAGGACGCACGAATCAGGTGCATTTCGCGCGACACAAATCCAACCTCGCGATGTGCACCAGAAAGTAAACAAAACACGTGACTTTTTAGCGACGATGACGCGAGGCGCGAGGGAGGGGAAGAGAGGGGGAGGGCGCGGCGCCGCAGCTTTGATTTTTTCCATCACCTGACCCTTTTTTCTCCTGATATTGTTAGGGTGACCGACCGGTTTTGCAAATTTGCAAGGGACCAAGTGGAATTACAGGTTTTCTCTCCAAAAAATTAAAAAGAAATTCAAACTTTCTCTTAATCATTCCACTCTTCAGCGGAAATCATTTGTAAATCTACATTAATAAATATTTAAATAAGTTGAATTAGACATTAAAAATTATTTTAATAAAAATATTGCTAAATAATTATTGATTGAATCAAATTTGAAATCTATACTTTATTTGAAAAAAAGGAAAAAAATTTTAAAACTACATTTAAAAAAGACACTTTTGTTAAACCCAAGTTTATTTTATTTCGTTTTTCATTATCAATTTATCACAACCAATTTTTTTTTATATATCTCTTTAAATTCTTTTCTTTACTTCTTTTCAAAAATTTCTTGATGTCACATCTACATTTTATATAATAGAGGCAATGACGATCACAATCAAATTATTTCTTATTCAGCCACAAAGAACAAAATAACATATTCGTAACATATATACAAACTTAAAATTTTATGACGATGAACAAGGCCAGTGTAAAAAAGATATACATTTTTATACTTTTAAGACGATTGTTTCAATTTATGCAAATCATCTATAATTACAATACGGCACTTATTGTACGGAAAGTCTTCGCTTTTATACATTCAAACGAGGCAGGACTTTCAATCACTCGTTTAAAAACGCAGCTACAGTTTTATAATTAACATTAGTTGGCAGCAAAATGGTGAAAATAATGGCAGCAGAATCAACGGTACAAAAATAGCCGGAGTAAGGATATAGCACATTTTTTTTTATCAATTAGATGCATTTTGGGAGGGAAATTCCTATCAAGAAGACTTGGTAAAATCTCATTATTGTACAGCACTATATTTTACAAAAGCTGATTTACAAAGGTATTAGGAAAGTTGAAATCACAATAGCTTAAATGTATGAAGAGGAAAAATATGTACTTATTGTGAACAATGGCACAATCAATTAACAAAAGAAATGATGAAGTGTACTTTCTTATATTACTCTGTCAAACAAATTAATGGGATCATACATATTTATTTCTTTGAAAGAGTGGCAAACTATTTTAAATACTAAGCCTTGAGAAGTTTGGGAAAGGAAAAGGTTGGCACTTCTTGATACAAAAGCATTAATGTGTGCTGCAGTTCAACTGCGCTTTTCAAATATTGATTATAGTTTCATAGTATCACAGACTCATTTAATGAAGGGAAATGCACAGTGGTGAAGATGTTCAATATTTGACTGACACCAGCGTCAGTCAGTTTGCGGAAGAATCGATTCTACGCTTTACATTCGGTCAACTCTCGGATTTTTGCTCAATTTCGATCAGAATCTGGAATATTAATAAATTTATTTCCATCAATTTAATTAATTTATTATAATTAACCTCATTTAAAATAACCCAGTTGTCACTCTCACTGTGAATGCTGATCTTGAGCTCTTTGATGGGGAAAAGTTTTGGATTGACGAATCCCTCAGCAATTCCAACCGTATCAAATTTTCCTAATCAAAACCTTATTTCTTTGGTCAATTTTGTTATTAACTTATAACATACCGACTATGACGTATCCATCTGGGGTGACATTTAGATCAGAGCTTGGTGTTTTCAGTGGAAGTATTTCAATTGTTGTGTTGTAAAATTTGTCTGATGGATGCTCTGCGTTGCCACTTCGGAACAAATATCTAAACACGAACTCATCATTTTAAAGTTCATCAAGAGAATTACTAAAAAACTCACCTCGAAAGATTGATTGGTGGATCGTAACTGAATACGATGCTGTCTCCGGCCTGAGGAGAAAGTCCCCAGAAGTAGTCTTCCCCGGCATACGCTCTGACTAGAGTGTGTTGCTTGTACGACGTGACCCCGCCCTTGATGTTCGAAGTTTTCGGATTGTTTGTGTGCGGGTAGAAGAGCATCAGTTTGCCAAAATGCTTGTCCTGAAAAGTTAAAATAATAGTTATTGCTAAGGATCTTTAATTGAGACGCACCTTCAGTTTCTGGACTTTGCCTTTCAGGGAGGAATGAGTGCCAATGTGCTGGAATAACGATGGTTTGAAATGCAACCAAAGTTGGTTTTTGGCCTTTTTGCACATTTTCTGTGAACAATTTATGAGAAAAAAAAATAAAAAATTTTAAGATCACAAACCTGGTCCTTGTCGAGACTGCAAATTTTTGTGGTGATGACGTGATCAAGGAGCCAGTCCACAGGCTTGTCAGTGTAGAACATGATGAAAAATTCCACCAGCCAGGGCAGTTCAACGCACTTGAACATTTTCCCAATAAACCCAAGCTGGCAGAATTCGATGACGAACCAGGACTCGTTTTTGGCGATTTTCTGGTATGCAAAGTTGAGCATTGTGGTGAGAAAACCTGGTTTGGCCAAAATGTCATCCTCCAACTGGGTGTAGAAAATTCCTGGATTACAGATTTTAAAATTATAGACAGTTCAGGTAAAACAATTCTCACCTCGAGGCTGGGCGTACATCATGAGGAAAGCAAAATCCAGGTTCTGCTTTGTCCGCCACTTGAACCTTTCAGGCGAGTCTCCCAACGAAGGTGTCAGGTTGGACAAATCAGGGTAGTAAGAGGCCGGAGGTGAAATCACCTCGATCAAACCGGCCTCGACGTGGGGAGAAAACCTTTGAATGAAAAAGATTGGCTCAATTTTTAATCCTTGAATAATCTTGCAAAATTTACTGCATTTCAATTTCCCTGGCCACCGACTCGACATACTCGAGGTCTGTCTCAGCAACAAAGACGATTATTAAGGTCTTTGACTGCTCCTCCGGATTGAGGTTCTGCACCAGGTTGTGCAAAGTTGTGAGCAAATAACTCTGCACCTCCCTTTTGACAGTAGGAACTCCAAGAACCATTGACGCTGAAAATAAAATAATTTTTGAGAAAAAAAAATGAATGATTTTTACTCAACAAACCTCCACTTCTGCCTTTGGAAAGTCTGTAGGCAGGCTTGAGGCTTGCTGGGTTGTGAAGCAAATGAGGCAAAAAGTGGAAGACCGACGGCATGTGCAGTGCATTGGAACCAAAGTCAAAGGTGGTCAAGTTGTGCAGGAGTTTTTGAGCTTCCGAGTCGACTCCCATTGCGCCAACTGATAAATTTTCTGAAACGTTTAAGTGTCACTTTTAAGATACGATAGTGCTCATTGGGAAACTAACCTGATTTTGAGGTAGAGACTATGTTGCTAAGGTAATGAGATAAGATCCTGACTTCTTGTAACCTTTCTTGGTGCAGCGAATCCAGATGTTGGATCCGCATTTGCAATTCTGCCATCTTCGAGGTCAATTCTTGCTCCAAACTCAAATCTGCAAAAAAATATATCTTATCAGAAAGATGGCTTTACAATTTATTTAAATTAAATTGAGGGGGTTAAATCATTCATCAATATTAATTAGTAAAGTGACAAGGTGCAATTCAAATATTGTGTGATAACAACAAAGTCGTATACTTTTCATGAACAGAAACCGACACCAAGCCCCTTGATAGGATTTACGGCACTATTTATTAAAAAGATTAGTTAATCTTATCTCGCCACATTGATTTTTTATTCAATTAAATCACCATGATCTCTGGCCTTAACCATCTGCATCAGCTTCCTGAATTAATGGGGTTTGATTTTTGAAATAAATATTTTTTGGTTCATACCTGGCTCGGCAAATATTATGAATGCACAGAAGGGCACAAAAATCAGGACCAGCAGCAGCACCAGCGTGTGACGCCTCCTCGTCAGACATCCCATGGTCGTCTGCAAAGAGACAAAAATTGTTTATTTTGGGAACATTAAATTCATGATAACCTCTTGGGTATAAGCCACAATAATTGTGCAGCTAGGAGAGGTTATCTCAAATAAATTTCCTCAACTTGAAGGCAACAATAACTTTAGACTTTGAAATATCAGTAAAAAATTCCCAACGAATAACTAAACAACAAGGAATTAAAATGAAGTACGTACATAAGTGATAAGTGTAATCAATAATGGAGGAAAAAATTGGTTTCAAATTTTTATGTATGGTAAATATGAGATGGGTAATTTTCGCCACAGGATTTAGAATTCCATTGAAGCGAAAGTTGGCCCCGTGCATTCAATTCATTTAATCGATTTTTATCAAAAAACTTTTGAATAAAAATAACCTTGCATGCGACTTTTCTTTGCTCTCGGTTTCTCACGTTTGTGCAGGATGCCGATGGCTACGAATCAATCATGCATTGACGAGTTATTTTCAGCAGAGTCGAGGCGATTTGTAGAAATCTCGAGGTGTCGGTCGCTCTCTCCAGTTGACATTAGAGTTGGAACGGACACTGCTGCAGTGTAAAGATAAGCCCAACTTTAATCCTTTCGCTTTTTGCTTGGTGGAAGACGGAACCCGACGAACCAGTTTTGGATCGTGGTTTCCAGTGGAGTGTTAAGAAAGGAGACGCTCTTCATGAGATACCATTCTTCAAAAGTCTAATCATAAATCTTACCCGAAAACCTTTTTTTAGCTACTCTAAGTACTACCCATTTACGCCACTGCAGAAGTGGGAAAGCTTACCGGTTATTATTTGCGTACCGGTATTTTGCAAATAAAAAAAAATAGGTTTATTAGGCTAGAAAAACCCAAATATTTTCATGAAACGAATTTAAAAATAGTATGTAAACGTCAATACAAAATTAAAACTTCAATTTCTTTCGTTTAGTCTTGAAAAACTGGTAAACCGTTTTATAAAAAGTTTGAATACCGGTATAAACTTATTTACAATTTGCTAAATTTTGCAGCTGATTCACGTGACGTCACATAACAAATTCGTCCTGGGTCGACTTGTTTTGCGGCTTGCCTGCGGTATCAAAGACTGCAATTTTTCGTTTCGGAAAACGATTTGGTGGCTCCGTAAGAAGATTTTGTGCCCTGCTGACGTGCTCTGTGAAAGCTCCGGTGCCCTGCACAGGTAGCATTTCGGGGTGCGGCACGTGCCCGGCAGCTCTGGGTCGCGTTTTGTGCACCGTCGCTGTGGGTCAAGGGGAGCCCAAAAATAAAACTTGTAATCGGGGATGCATTTGCCAACGGGCCTGGCGCTGCTATTTTTATTGCATTGACACGCAAATCGTGTCAAGTCTAGTGGAGCGTCTCTCTCGAACCAGCAGCTGCAGCACTCCTCGCTCTTCGCAGTGGTCCATGTGATGAGCAAGATGACGTCCAGGAACTTCTTCAAAAATGTCTGCGACCTTCCGTACGGCCAGACGCACAGGGACAGGGCCGCCCTGTACAGCAGCTGCAAAGGTATGTACATACTGCAATTTGTATGCGTGTTGTTGTTCGAGTTTAATTTTGTAATTAAATTAATTGAGTTGTGAAGAAACTGCATTGTGTGTATAATTAAAAGAGCTGCTTGTTTTTATTTTCAACTTCTTGGTCTGGTTTTTCCCACATAAACCAAAAATTAGACGCACAAATAGAATAATTATTCAGAATTAACATTAATTTGAATTTAATTTGCAGATAGCAAAGAACTCTTGCAAAGGATGAGACTGAGCAAAGCTCTGGGAGTTCACGAAGGATGTGTCAATACCCTGTGCTGGAATTCCAGAGGCGACTGCATCCTCTCAGGCTCCGATGACCAGCGTCTGGTCATTACAAACTGCTTCTTGAATAAAGTAAATTTTAGCGACACAAAAAATTTTAAAATTATGATTTTCTTTTTTTTTTCAAAGATTGTTGCCGAACAAAAGACTGTTCACCGAGCAAACATCTTCAGCGCCAAGTACTTAGTGGACAATGACGACAGCATTGTCGTCTCCTGTTCTGGAGAGGGATTAATCCTAGTAACAGGTACTTGTTCATTCATACCGTTTATTGAATCTAAATGTAAGTGGCGTGGTTTGCAGACATGACAAGGAAGGACCAGGCAGGACAGAGGAGCATCTTCAAGTGCCACTACGGCACCACGTATAATGTACAAACAGTGCCTGGCGACTGCAACACCTTCCTAAGCTGTGGCGAGGACGGGACAGTCAGATTTTTTGATCTCAGACAAAGGAGCAGCTGTTTGCAGTCTTCTTGCAGTGAGGTAAAGAAAAATAGGCCAAACTATTGTATTTTTACAATTTAATATTTGATGTATAGACAAACATTGAAGACTTTTGTGTAAATTTCAGGATGTGATACTTTCTTGGGAAGGTGCGGTGACCACAATGGCCGTCAATCAAATGCGGCCTTATCAATTAGCCGTGGGTTGCTCGGACAGCACTGTGCGGCTCTTCGATCGTCGCAACTTGATCACAAAGTCCGCAGGCAAGTCCGTTTTAAATTAATTAAACAGGTCAGGCCACTCGCACCATGTTGCGGTACCACCCGTCGAAAAGGGAATTGTCGCTGCCGTTGCTGCCTCTGATTTCGGTGACATCATACTGGACCGTTTGCTCGGTACGAGTGCAGCGAATGAAAATCAGCAGCATCACCAACAGAATGGCCAGCAGGATTGCGGCCAGCGTTAGGGTTATTCTGGTAGAGTTGTGTTCCAGTTCTGGAACAAATTTCAAAAGCAATCAGTTGCTTCTTTAATGCAGAGCTTTCGTTTAATTTAAGTTAAGTCAAAATTAATGATTTTTTTTTAACGTAACTCAATTTAAAAGAAATTTGTTGTGTATTATAAAAGAGCTTTACCATCAACGAGGGTTTTCGACTCAAGCAGTTTGCAACTTATTCCGGTCCAACCGTCCGCACAGACGCATTCTTCGGGGCCTGTGCAGAAGCCCCCATTGTGGCATTTTGTGCATCTCAAGGTGCAGTTGTAGCCGTACGATCCTTGCGGACAGCGTTCGGAACAGGTGCTGCCAGTCCAGCCTTTGTAGCATCTGCACTCGCCTGATTCAAAAGAAATGATTTATCAAAATTCATTTGAAAATAGATGAAAACCTGTTATGTGGTGGCAGTCGCCATTGAGGCACTCGCAAGTGCCACTGCACAGTGGCCCGAATTTTCCGTTTGGGCAAGAATTCCAGCAGTTGACGCCGTCGTAGCCGGGCAAACAAATAAGCTCACCATTGCCAGGATTGCAGGATTCCTCCTCATCAATGTGGTACCCTAATTTGCAATTCTAATCCATCTGGTGTGGGAATTGATTTTAAAATTTCACCTGTGACGTTTCTTCCTTTCCACACAAGGCAGCTTTCCTCGCACCCGTAGCCGTACGTCCCTCTCGGACAACGAGTTGAGCACTGTCCGTACTTGTCTGTTGTTGTGCCCTCCGGACAGTGGCAAATGGACCCATTGTTTTGTCTGCACGGCACAATTCCTGGCCCGCAGTTGCACGTCTGGTTGCAGTCTTCGCCCCAGAAACCATCCTCACACCGGCTGTCGCAAATCCAACCTTAAAAATTCAAATTACAAAACATAATTTAATGAGATGCATTAAATATTTATAGAGCAAAAGAAGCAAATACATAAATGAAATTATTTTTTTAATTTAAAATTGATCATTCAAATTGCATTTAGTTAATTACTTTTTTATGATAAATTTTTTGTAAAAAAAAACTTTTAAAAAATAATTTGGTTTATTCTCAGAAGTTGAACAAGAATTGCATATATTTAATTATTTAATTCTGACCGTGCCAGCCTTTGTGGCAGTTGCAACGGCCGGTCACGTGGTCGCAGCTGTCAGCGTGTTCGCCGCAGTGGCACTTTTTGTTGCAGTTGATGCCGTACTTGAGGTGGTTGCACGTCAGGGCGCACTCGCGTTCCATGAAGCCGGTCAGGCACTGGCACTCGCCGACCTGCGGGTCACACTCGCCCTGGCCCTCAATGCAAGGGCACTCGAAGCTGCACAGGCTCCCCCAACGCCCTCTCGGACAGGGGCGGTCGCAAATCAGACCTGTCCAGCCGGCCAGAGCCACACCTCGCGTGCCATTCACACCTGTGATCAAATTTTTCAAATAATTATTGACACTTAATACAAAAAAAAAATCCTTTTGATTCCTGTTCATGATTTTTTTTATTTTAATTCAAAGGTAATTTGTAAAATAAAATTCAATTCTAGGAAATTGCTTTTTATGGGAATTTTCTTATTAATTTATTTTTCTCATAACATACATGATTAAATTTGATAAAAATCAAATTCATTTTACCCGAATTTTAAAATCAGTGCATATAGCTTCACCTCCAAATTTATATTCAAATTAAATTTTGGTCACCTGATTCGTGTCTGCAGTCGCATTCGCCATCCACAGTGGAGCAGAAAGCATTGTTTTGGCACGCGCACTTGAACTTGCAGTTGTCTCCGAACCAGCCTGCAGGACAAATCTCTTCGCAAGACTCTCCCTTCTGTCCTGGTGGGCATCGGGGTAGGGCGTTGTAAAAGGGTTCGCACCCTCCTTGCAGCAAAAGCTGGGACAGCACAAGAGCGGCGAGCAGCATCATGGTAAACGCTTTTGTTTCCACTGCCGGCGCCGCACAGATTGGAATGTGCTTTTGCGTGATGAGAATTTTTGTGTGCCCAAAATAGGGCGTTAAAGAATTTGGAATTTCCTCTGTATACCATGGATAAGATTTATACAAAACTGTGAACATTTTTTAAGAATTTTTGTCATTCCGATTGTTGCAGGAGGTAAACCAGACGACGGATTTAGGAAGTCGGCCCTGTGTTCGTTTACGGCGCCCGATCTTGAAAATGCACTCTATCGAGTGACTTCATTAAAGTTTAGTCCCAATGGTGATGATATGCTAGTCAGCTACTCCGCAGACTATTTGTACTTGTTTAATATACAGGTGAATTAATTTATATTTACTTTTAACAATTTAATTCAAAATATGAAAGAAAGAATAAAACATTAAATTGAATTAATCTATGTATCAGAATTTGCAAGGAAATTTATATTTTCTTTTATAAAATATAATTTGAGTAATTTTAAATTTAATGTGACGTTTTTCTTTAATTTTTAAAATTTATATTTCATCAAAATAGAAAAGGTTGCATAAATAATGGGGCAATAATCAAAACTGGTAATTAATTTTTAAGAAATAATTTAAAATTATCTGTTTTACACCACCAGGAAATCACAGCTAGTGCTCAAAGCTATAACTCGAACGGAACATCAACTCGCAAGCTCAGCTCGAAGTCTGCACCCCCTATCAAAAGACTGCGCCTTCGAGGGGACTGGTCGGACACAGGGCCCAACGCTAGACCCGAGAGCGAAGGTGAATTATAAAAATCTTGATTTATTGATATTTCTATGCTGAAACTTGTGTGCAGAGCAAATAGCGCAAGTTCGTCCAACCCTGCAAGCAACCTTGATGCAAAGGATGACGGACGTTTTGGCCAGGATGCTTAACGACCCTGCCACAAGACTGGCTCTAGGTGGAGTTTCCGAAAACGCTGGCAGAGTGGACACAAGAAGGCAAGAGTTATTTTACTATAAAGGGTTTGGAAAGTTTTGTTTTGTTGGGTTTGAATATTGGTATAGAAAAATCCAACTTTGCGCGGCCTTTAAAATGATACCATAGCTATGAAAAAAACTACTTTTATGGTCACATTGGTGGTCAAATTAACCATCTCAATAAGCCTGTCCAGACAGAAGCGGTTAGCTAAATTGGCTCGGGTAATTTTTCTATTTGTCCAAAAATTTAAGCCAGTGAAATAAACATTTCAAAAATATAAAACAAGCAATCCTGACGAATTTTTCACAAAAATTGTTAAAAATTTTTCATCATTATGTAACCGTATCTGAAATTTTCAAATTTATATTTAAGCCTCAAATCATTTGAAACTTTCTAGTATATTATTTGATTGCAGGGATAATGAGCCTGGCAGAGAATTGAATGTGTCGCTCCCCAACCCTGAAAGGGTATCTCCACTTCCGTCTTCTTCAACGGCAGGTCCGTCCACCAGTGGAGAAAGAGACTCGACTTGTAATAAAACTTTGTTGAAACAAAATTTTCAAAAATTTACAACCTTTCTTTCCACAGCTGAGGACTTTCTGGAAAGTGATGATGAAAAAGCAGTCAACGAAGAGGTCGGTCTGCACCTTTCTCGAACGGACGTTTTGACCCCTCAGGCCAAGCAAAAGTATGTCGGCCACCGAAACGCGCGCACCATGATCAAGGAGGCGTCCTTCTGGGGGGAAAACTACATCATGTCTGGCTCGGACTGCGGCCACGTCTTTGTCTGGGACAAACACAGCGCCGAACTGGTCATGCTGTTGGAGGCGGACAAGCATGTGGTGAACAGTCTGCAGCCGCACCCACACCTGCCTCTGCTGGCCACCTCGGGCATCGACTATGACATCAAGTTGTGGTCACCCATGGCTGAGATGCCATTCTTCGATTCAGTCGAGGCTGAGAGGGTAAAGATTTTCGGGCATATGGGATTTATAATTAGAATGATTATCATTATGAACCTTTATTTTGTTTCTAAAATATGAAGTATTTAAAATCAAATGAACCAATTTTGTAACTGAATTCTTTACTAAAAACCCATTTTTTTCTGATGATTTTATAAAAAATTTTACAGAGATTGTCTAAATTTAACACCAAAAAGTTTCTGGCTCATAATTATCTGAAAAAAAACAGATTATTTTTAACTAAATGTTTTGTTACCTTTGCTACTGTTTTTAACTTTTCCCAGTGTTAACAAACAGATTTAAAGTTATTCTTTGTCAATTATTTTGTAAAGAAAAGGTTATATTTAAAAAATTATAATTTTTTTCCATCCTTGCTTGCAGTTTCTTCCTCTGAACTGATCTGAATTTTTTTTTTCAGTTGATGGTTCGGAACAAGATAATGTTGCAAGAGACGCGAGACACGATCACAGTGCCGGCCTCGTTCATGATTCGGATGTTGGCGTGTCTCAACCAAATCAGGCGAGGTGAGTCCTAACCAGCTGAGTGAGTCTAACGCGCCAACTGATCTGATTTTGTGATCGTCTCAAGTGTGGTTATTCGAACATTTTTCGCAATTTAAAAAAAAACCTCCATTGTGATAATAGATCATCGCTGGTTTCACTCACATTTCAACAAAGAGCTTCGCAATGAAATTTATATAACAAGTCTTTATTGCTTGACAGATTAATTATTTAAAAAAAAATAAACTCATTCTTTTGTATGTTTTAAAAGTTTATGTATGCTTAAAAAAGTAATTTTGTTAATATAACTGTAAAGCTTTATTATCAGACTTTCAAATCACCTGGTCAATTTTAGAAATTGGTAGACTATGCCCGAATATGAATGTTCTTGGTTTTAGTATTTCAAATCAAATTATATTTAAATTATACTTTGGTTATTTCTGGACTGATATTTCTTGTATTTAATAAAAACCGTATTCAAATTAATAAATAAAATATATATAATAAATATAGTTGAAAAATCTGGTTCATAGCCATTTAAAAGTGTGTGAAAATGTTGATAAAATTAATAGTGGTTGCATAATATAATTTCCCCGCTGCTGCTTTTTTGTAAAATAAACCCGCCGAATTATTTGCTGATGGTTTCCTTTCACTTCAGCTGACACAATTAATTAATCGTGTTTTCTTTTCTTGAAGCATGAATTTTATTTGAGCGCACTAACAACCATTTAAAACGTCTTGTAAATGCCCACATCTGCATCTGCGCAAATTGGATTATCAAAATTGTGTACGTGTCCTCTTTCAAAATCACATTCCTGGGCAAAACCCGAATTGGCACACTTTATAATTATCCGCAGGTACGCGACCTTTGGCACGCCAGAGGAGACAAGCGAGTGACCTGTCCTGATTTGGCAAGAGCAAATTTTTGGGACTTTTTTACGAGATCGAAAAAAATTCATGCTTTTTTATTTATTTTGGCACAAAAAATTGTGTGTTCTTCTTTCTAAACTCGACCCTTTCACTGTCCTTTTGTTAATTATTTATTTAGTATTATGTAAGTGTCTAATTTATTTTTGAATGTTTATAAAAAAATAAGCAGTATCAAAGTTTTTGTATAGGAGATTGAGTGCAGAGGGCTCTGATGAATTTGTGTAATTGAGATAATTTGAAAATTATATTTTCTTCTTTGGGTTAATTAAGTTAATTTTTTCTCTCTGGTTCCTATGAGCTGCATATTACAACAAGCCTGGTGATATAAGACATAATATTTTTTAGTTTTAATACGATGAATAATTTTTGGTCATAAATCATCAGGTTGCCAATTGTGTATTTTATTTAAAAAATAAATAAATATCAAACCAAGCTAAGGAAGAAAATTATTGGTCAAGTTCAGATGTAAATATATCCAATATAATAAAATGAATCTAAAAAGTTGTGTTTTAATTTTTTAAACAAAATAAAGTTGTTGCATTTTAGTTCAAATCCCTGCTCGCCGATTAATTAATCTTAATTAGCGTGGTTTTAAAAGGGGGAATGTGCCGCCGGTTGCATAGCCATCCAGGCGGTCCGTGAAGGGAGAGAGGAGGAGGGGGTGCGGCGGAGAAGAGGGAGCAGAGAGTGAGGCAGGAGCAGTCGCGTCCCGCCAGCCACTTGGGCAACAACGCACGACTCTAGTTTGTCCACACATCAGCAGCCGTCCTAGCTCCAAACATTCCCATCTCCTGAGCAATCCGAGCCACCCCGCAGTTGATTCTCGACAAATTCCTTCCTCCGACCTTGCTTGCACTTTGGACTCAAATATTTGCATCATGTTCGTCGTTTGTCTCGAGACTGCCCGTCCTTTCTGAGTCGATTTCGCCAAAGGTAAGGAAAAATGTCTCACGTTTTTTTTTGCGATTGAATTTTTTCAAATACAGAACGGATTTAAGCAGGTTTTAAGTACAAATGATGATAATTTGCGGTGGGCAAAAATTTTAAGGTTGTTTCTTTTCTAAGTAAGGTTTTCTCAGTAATCAAAATTTATTCATACAAAAATATTAAATCACAATTTTTTTTATGATTTTTTTTTTTTTTTTTTTTTTTTTTTTTTTTGAAAAAATTATAAGTAAAATAACCAAATATGGACAAATTTTTGAAACAATGAATGCAAATTTTATTGAAATTTACATATTCCTGTGATTTTTTAGGAAAAATATCATTCCTTTGATCTGCTTGAAAGAAAATATCCTCAATTATATTTTAATTCAGCTGTTTTTTATGAATAAATTCCATGACATTTGGCTTTCTTCATTTCTGCATTCTATGAAGTAAGAAAAGCCGTCGTCGGAAGATCTTTTCCAGGCTGCCGAAACGAACGATTTATTACAAAGTTTTTGCCTCCCTCATCCCTTCGGCACGAAGACAGGAAGGTCTTTTTTATTTCTCTCGGCGGAGGGGCAGCCACGCAATTAGCCGCAACACGCGAGATTGATGACGGCTCGTCGGCCAAAAAAAATAGTCCGCATGTGTCTCCTGTATTTTTTTTTTTTTTTTTTTTTTTTGCAAAACGGAAATAAATAATTCGCAACGAAAACAAGACATTGTTTTGTCTCTCTCAAGAGAGAATGTATATATCGGAAAAACAATTTCGCCCGCCCAAATTCATTTACCGCTTTTCATCGTATTAACTGGCAGCATCTGCAAATTTCAATTTGCTTTTCAAATAAAATTCACCGCAGCGGCCTCGACGCGGCGAGCGGAATGAATTTAATTTGCAACGCAAATTCGCAAACCGCAAAACGTGTTTTGATTGCGGATTTTTCTGGCTTCTGTTTAATCAATAGTTCCAACTTTTCTTTTTTTGTTTCGCCTAATTGAAAAGATTTTTTTGTCTCAGGAACATTTAAATAAAATATTTATGATAAAAAATTATCGCTGAGGGAAGAAATTATTTTTATGCTTTATATTCTTTTCTGTTTTTAAAATTATTAAAATGATTTGCAATCTGTTTTTTATAGAATGCTTGAGTGAAAAGAATTGAAAATAAGTTCAAAGTAATTTTAAAATAAATTTGCATTTAGTTATTAATTTTAAAATAGATTTAAAAGTCTTGGAAAAAATGCTGGAAATTTTTGTTGAATCAATTGATTGGAATTTAAATTTCAGTAATTTTTACTAACTTAATATTGTTTATGAAATTAATATATGAAAATTATAAATTTTGTTCAACTTAATATATTGATACTAGTTTATACTATTTATGCTGAATTTTATATTATTTTTGTTGCTTTTCATTAGCAAATGAAATATTGTTAAATTTGATTAAAAAAGGTAAAAGCTTATAAAATATTTGAAAAGTTTTTTTTAACAAAATTTAATTAAAATCACCTTTAGGAAAAAGGGCAAACGTGGAAGGAAAAGTCAAATATTCTCTGTCATTGTAATTTACGTATAATAACAAAGCACGATGGTTAGTCCGTCCTTACCATTGCATGACATTTGCAAAACTTTGAAGGTTGAAGTTCGTGTTTTGGCATTTGGGCGAAAATGTGAATAACAGGTTGCGGTTCACTTTTGCGTGGGGTGCCGCTGATGTTCCGCGGTTTGCTCCTCCGCACCAAAACGCGCACACAAAGTCAGTCTGCACAGACACGCAGGGAGGGATAATCAAATTTGGCCAAACAAACCCCTTATGCTATTACGGTACGAATTCCATCCGAAACAAAAACACTCTAATTGGTGGTAAAGACACTAATACTTTTTTAAACATAAACATAATTTAAAATTTGAAATTGGTACAAATTTTGAGGATGAATTTTATTATGTCGAATAATTTTACAATGAAAAAGAAAATTATTAAAATCTTCTGCATTAATTATAATTATTTTATAATTAACAATTTATATTGTACTGTTAATTTTCATGTCTTCTTGTAATTTTAATTTACTGTTCACATTTAATTTAAATATCAATAGAAATGCTGCATTTATTTTGATTTAAAAACAAATGAATAGTCAATTCAACTTTGATTTTTATTTTTAAAATAATCTCTACAAAAACTTTTGTAATTTTGAACCTAAAATACTTTTTACATACATAATGGTTTTAAAATTTTGTGCTTTAATCTAAGTAATGATCATCTAAAAATTATTCTTTCTGATTCTGACAAAATGATTGTTTGCGAGAAAAGAGAATTTTTTTACACATCTGTCCGTTTAATGCGATTTTGCTGGCGGAATATCAGCGCGAAAAACTTTTCCCTGCTTCGGCAAATGGGCCAAGTTTCGCTCAACTTTTATCTTTTTTCAACGCCTCGCCCTTCCTTTTTTCTTTCTAAAAGAAGAAAGGCAAAAATCGAAACCAATTTTCTTTCCACGCTGCTAGAGAACAAGGATAATTTTTAAAAACCTTTGAGCAAATTGAATTTGGGTTTCCTTCGGATTGGATTATGTGCGAGACGAATTTTCGATCACAACTTGAACTTGTTCCTAAGCAAACTGGTGTAATTGAAAATGCGCGGGAATAACACAAACTAAATAAAACGCAAATGAGCCGGCTGCGTCCCGTTGTTGAATTGCTTTCTCGCTAATTGAATCCGTGCCCGCCAACTTTTTTTAATCTCCTACACGTTGCATTTAACTATTTGTAGTTTTAATTAAATTGGCTAGGAAACTCTGATCGAAGGTAAAAGAAAAAAATGGTAGTAAAAAGACAAGAATACAAAGCTATAGAGTAAAATTTGAAAATTTAAATTTGGCAAATACGTGATTCCAAAAGGTCCAAAATATGAATAAAGTATTTTGAAATTGAATGAGTTTTACAATTAGGAAAGCATGAGAGTTATGATTCTATGTCAAAAGCAGAGATTTTAATAAGAAAAAAAATGGTAAATAAAAATAAAATTTTGCAAAACCAAGTTAACGTTTTAGTTTTAATATATTAAATAATGTATTAAATTAATTTGAAAAAGACAACTGGAAGCTGTAGAATTGAAATGCATTTTTTTTAACTTCATGGAAAGGAAAAGAAGTAAAAAATAACTCCATCACACTTTAAATTGCTCCAGATGTTCCGAAAAGATAAAAAGCTGCCCCACTTTTCTTCACCCCGCTCGTAATTGGCCCCGGCGCGTCGGATATCCTTTTTGCAAATCGCGCTTGCGAAAAGCGACTTTAATTCCCCTCGGCGCCATAAATTAGCTCGCGATAAGAAAAACAAAGGGTGAGTATTGTTTTGTTGGTATTGGCAAGGGCCGTCCCTCTCGTTAAGCAACATTATCCGCAAAGAGGCGTCGCGTTTTAAAAATAAAACCGAAAGGCCGCGTCTGTCTCTCCCGTAATCGCCATTCTCATGCAAATGAGCCGCCACAAAAACAGCCCCTTTGAACCGCCGACCTGTTCAAAGAGCCATCAACATTGCCGCTGATCCGCTTCAAAGTTCATTCACTTTCAAGTATGAATATTCAAAAGTGGCCCTTTAAATTAACTTTTAATTTCATATAATAATTCGAAGTTTTATCTGCTTGAAATTAAATTTTGAGTTTGTATAATTTAAAAAAAGTCTTAACTGTGTGGTTAAATAAAGTAAATAAAATCCATAAATGATCATATTTTTTAATTAATTCAAGTATTAGTGGAGTGTGAATCAATAAGTTTGAAGAAAACACTTGTAAAATTTTATGTACTTCTTTACAAAAAATAAAATAACGAAAAAAAATTACAGAAATTTAAATATATATAAATTCAAGAAATTCTACAATTAAATATTTTATTCTAAAAACGTGTTAAATCATATATATATATTATGCGCTTTTAACATGAGCAAGCGCAATGTAAATGATATTGCTACGTCTTTTTCGTTTTCTCTCTTGCCTGCCAATTTTTTTACTGTTAATCATCCCGCCGACTCGCTATGCGTGGCTTGTTGCATAAGCTGAACAAACCACCAACAACAACTCTCAATGATTGTGACGTCAACGATTCTCTTCGATTTTGCATCGGGTAATAAATAACGATTTCAACCTTCCAATTAAAAGTTCCAAAAAAGCACACAGATGTATTTCACGTGCAATCATAAATTTATTTTGTTATTTAATTGCTGTTAATTAAGCTTTACGGTCAAGTTGTTATGGAGGAATTATTGTATTTTAAAATATCATGTACAAAATGCAAAAGTTTTTAGATCCTTCTGCTTGGTGCCAAAGTTCAAAGGGGCGCATAAAATTTTGCCAAATAGACTCTTGCTCTCTCTTCATTTGAAGTTTGAGTCTCTCGCCTGCTTTGATGAAGACAGGCGCGCGCACTAAATAGTTGCCTCTTTCTCGCCGAGAGAGCGAAGAAGGCTTTTGCTGCTCTCTTCAAATTTAATTCACGTCAGGTGCATCTGAGAGTGGCACCTGAGATGATATGCATGGAACAGCCTCCAGATAAACTATGAAAGCGGGGCTAA